TTGGGAGAAGGAGGGTAGGGTTATGGACATTGGGGAGGGTTTGTGCTATGGTGAGTGCTGTGAAGTGTGTAAACCTGGCGATTCACAGACCTGTACCCCTGGGGATAAAAATATATGTTTATAAAAAATAAAAAATTAATTAATTTTAAAAAATAAATAAATTAATTAAAAAGTTGACTGTATTTCTATATATATCACAAAAAATTATTTATTAGAAAATATGGCTGGCTGGGTGATGGGACACTGGGGAGGGTATGTGCTATGGTGAGGGCTGTGAATTGTGTAAGACTGATGGATCCCAGTCCTGTACCCCTGAAACAAATAATATATTGTATATTAATTTAAAAAAATGTTTTACTTTATAACATATCAGAATGCAAGAAATGGAGAAACGTATACAATTTTACTAAGAAGAGATTAAGTAAATGAAAGGTAATGCAATGTTCATGTATTAGAAACTTCAATATGATAAAGATTTCAGTTCTCCTCAAATGACTCTACAGGTTAACTCCAGTTCCAATCAACATCCCAATGGGACTCTCCTATAATATTTGAGAAGCTGATTGTTAAACTGACAATGAAGAGGCCAAAACACTCACTATGAAAAAGAGCAAGAGGAGAAATGTACTTTTATAGCTAAATGGCTTCTTGTCAAGCTAGGATAATGAAGGCCTAGAGGTCTTAATGTAGGGAAAGAGGAGAGCCCCAAAAGAGATCCATGTGTAGTACGTGAAAACTGGGTCTATACGCAGCAAGCGTGCTAGATCAAACTGGGTATGTGTACCTCACATCCTACACAAAATCAAATCTAGGTGGACTCGTAGACTTAAATGTGTCTATTAACCTTTTAGAAGACAATGTGAAATAGCAGGAATATTCAGAAGAGCAATGAGGCAAGACTAGTGCTCACACAAGAACATGTTATAAAGAATCATTAAAAACAATGTGGTACTGAATGACACACAAGCAGACAGAATAGAAAGTCCAGAAAAACATTATGGTATATGTAGGAATTGAGTATGGTAAAAGTGGCATCTCAAAGGAGTAGGAAAAGATGAAATTTCTTTTAATTTTATTTACTTATTTGAGAGAGAGAAGGAGAGATAAAGCATGAGCAGGGAGAGGGAGAAGCAGACTCCCCACCAAGCAGGGAGCCCAACGTGGGGCTTGAACCCAGGACTCTGGGATCATGACCTGACCTGAAGACAGACACTTACCCAACTAAGACACCCAGGAGCCCCAGAAATAAACTTTTTAATCAAAGATGTTGGGACAACTGGGTAACTATCTGGGGGAGAAGGGACTAAATTGGCCATAAATCACACTATATATCACATGAAATAAAAATGGATCAGAGAGAGAGAGAGAGAGAGAGAGAATAAAACCACAAGAGTACTGGAAGAAAACATGGGGAAATTACTTTATAACTTTGGAGTAACTCAAAATATACAGGCCATTAAATCTGATAATTCAACTATGTAAAAATTTTAAAATTCTGCATGGTAAAAACACCTAAAGCCAAGTCAAAATACATTACACTAAGTAAAATGAGATGTTTACAAAGGGCAAATACTATGTGATTCCACTTATATGAAGTATCCAAATAAACAAATTCATAAAGGCAGAAAATAGAGAATAGAAGTTACCAGAGGCTGAGAGAAGGGAGGAATGCGGAGTGATTTCTTAATGGGTATAGAGTTTCTGGTTGAGATGATGAAAAAGGTCTTGAAATAGATAGTGGTGATGGTTTCATATCACAGTAAATGTATTTAATGTCACTGAACTGTACACCTATAAATGCTTAAAATGGTAAATAAATACTGTTACGTTAATCTTACCACAATTTTTAAAAATGAGGGCAACCAGGCAAAAAGGACTAAGGACAAATGAGAGTTCCAAGAAGAGAACATTTGCATCTCCTATCACAAAAGTGTTTACTTCCTTAACACATAAAAAAGAAACTGGAAAAAAAACAATAATCCAATTTTTAAAAAGACAAAGGTTTAATATACAGTACAGAGAAAAATACAAATCGCCCTTAATCATATGAAAAGATGCTTAACCTCATTCATAAGAGAAATGGAAATTAAAACCATATTGAAACATACTTTTCACCTCTCAGACTAGAAGAAAAATTTAACAACATAGTCTCATGGCAAGTATATTAAAAAAGTCACTCTCTTACTCTGCCTGATAAGAATATAAATTGTTGGGGCGCCTGGGTGGCTCAGTGGGTTAAAGCCTCTGCCTTCGGCTCAAGTCATGATCCCAGGGTCCTGGGATCAAGTCCCACATCGGGCTCTCTGCTCAGCGGGGAACCTGCTTCCCCCCTCCCTCTCTCTGACTGCCTCTCTGCCTACTTGTGATCTCTGTCAAATAAATAAATAAAATCTTAAAAAAAAAGAATATAAATTATTATATACACTACTTAAGACAACTTAATAATATTTAGAACAATACAAACGCATGGACCTTTTCACTGAGCAAACCCACTTCTGGGAATCTGTCCTATCGATTTGCTAGCACATGTGGGAAACATACACGGACAAGGTTATCACAGCATTAACTGTAACAGTAAAAAGTTAGACACGATCCAAACATACATCAGTAGGAATCTGGTTAAATAAATATAATGGAAAATTATGCACTGTAAAAAAAAAAAAACAACAACAACAGAAAAAGCACTTCTCTACTCAGATAAACAAAGAACTCCAAGACATAAATTTAAGAGAATAAAACAAGGCGCAGAATAGTGTATATAGTATTTTTTTATATAAAAATGGAAAGGAAATATGTATGTCGTATAAAGAAATTCTGGAAAGATACGCAAGAAAATAATACAAACAGCAGTGGGAGGCAAGGGATGGAGTAAGGAAGTGACAGAAGTGGAGGGACAGAACGGAAATGAGATATTTTACCGTACTTTTTTATTATTCTGCTTTGAGATATAGAAATGTTTTTCTTATTAGAAGTTATTTTAATGACTTCATAAGGGTTTCTAAGTCAAAGATATATGCATTAGTCAACTCAAATGACACAACATGCATTTCATTACATTTATGTCTTTTATCTCAAAGGAAAAAAACCCTAAACTTTTCTCTAGTTAATTAGAAGTGTGAAGTTTTTAAAGAGGAAGTATACTGATGTCTGTAGCTTACTCTGATATGCTTACATATCATAATGCTTACAAAATGCTTACAAAAATAAGACAGATCAGTGCATGGATAGAGGGATGGATACATGAGAAAGCAAGTACAATAAAACGTTCACTGTAGAATCTTGGAGGTAGGTATAGGAATGTTCCGTCTAAAATTCAAGAAAAGCCAAGTATGGCGGACTTTTACAAACCAAAGTTGAAATAAAGCTATTATCTGGTTCCTATACATCCAAATAAATTAATGTACTCTGGCTGTAAAACTAAAAGCTGTAGTAGAAAGCATTTCCCAGCTCAGCAAAAGCAAGCATTTATTATTTGCCAAGCCAATGGGGAACAGGAAGGGCAAACAGGACAGGCTTGAAGGAATCCTAAGGATCATCTAGCATTGGCCCCTTCGTTTTTACAAAAAAGATACTGAGGACCTGAAATGATCTGTGGGGAACTCAAAAGTGTTCTGTGTCAAATTTAGGAAGGGAAAAACAATGGCAGCAGAAAAATCATTTTTTTCAGCTATGATCCCTGCTATAGTAAAATTCAGCTTTTATAGAATTAGAGACAATATATTTCCATGGAAACAATATTCCCAAGTATCCATGTGAGGCTGAGAAGTATGCTTTTCTATGTAAGACTTCACATCCGAAGTGTACACACAGGATGTGGGGTGAAGAGGTACTAAAAAGCAGAGCTTTACAATCAGACGGGTCTGGTTTTGAATTCTGGCTCTACCACTTACTGGATCCTAGCCAGTCTTAGCCCTAGCTAAGCCCCAGCTTTTTATCAGCAAAATGGGAATGGTTAAGACCTTATAAATTTGTCAGGAATGTAAAGAAGTACAAGTCATCTAATTCATGGATTCATACATTGGTGGCTACTGAACGTAGGCTTTCTAACATTTACTCATAGTTGCATAATGCTCAGTAAAAGGCACCACCTCTGAACACCTGTCAGTTTCATGAGTAACTTACTAGCAGCTGACTAGGCTGTAAATGGGATCCTACTAAGAGCAGAGGGAAGAAGCTGTTGATTTCACCATCAACAGGAATTTATTAACTGGCTGACAGCAGCTATTAGGTGCCCTATGTTTGAGGTAAAATAAAAGGTTGCTTGATGGTCTGGGTATTTTTTTTTAAAGATTTACTTATTTATCTGAGAGAGAGAGAATATGAGCAGGAGGGGCAGAGGGAGAGAGAGAGAGAGAGAATCTCAAGCAGACTTATGCCAAGAACAGAGCCCAAGGCAGGGCTGCATCTCACCACCCTGAGATCATGGCCTGAGCCAAAACCAAGAGTCAGACACAACTGACTGCACCCCCTAGGTGCTCCTTAACTTTTTTTTTTTTTAAGGTATAAAGATAAGTGATCTATTTCTGACTATACAGCCATGAAACCCGATCAATTACACCATCTCAAAACTGGAAGAAATCTCATAGGACCTCCAGCAAGAATCCTCTCCCCAGTAGATCAGATCACATTACATGACTAACTTCTGCCTAAAGCTCTTCTAGTTTAAACCAGCTTCTCACTCGCTATATTATCTGACCCTTCTAATGATCAGAAAGGGCCTTTTTCTCCCACTTAGAATAACCAGGTGATAAAAAGTTAATGATAATGTATAAAAGCGAACCCACACTCACCTACTTTTGGAAATAAAAATCTGTAAGTGCTGTTTTCACTTGGGGGTAAGAAAGGATATTCTCTTTAATAACAATTCCGTAATATATAAAAAGTCCAGTTCCAAAAATGCATCTTGAAGCTTGTATTTACATTCCCATAACAATAAACAGCTTAGAAACCTTGCCTTGTATTAATATATATATAATATATAAAACACAAAGAAAACATACCTGGGATAATATCATTGATGTGCAAGAGAATTGTACTTTCAACACTTGCAAAACTACAAAGCTGTATTCCATCAAATCTGCCATCCCAATTGCCAATAGGATTATCCTAGAAATCAAGTAATAGAATAAAGTTTTAAACTCTTCTCAATAAAACATGAGTATGAACATCTACGTTCTCTGGAAAAGGATCTCCCAAAAGATTTTACTCTGGCCAATTTTAACTATCTTTCCTAAAAGAAAAAAGAATATATCAGAAATAATTGCCACAGTAATAAGGTTTTTGGTTTGTTTTTGTTTATTTGGTTTTTGTTTTGGTTTTAGTAAAAATGAGATCCAAGAATAATCAAGTTATAGTAAACTCACAGATGAGCAAGAAATGGAAAGTATTCATTGTACTTTACAACAAATGCTAGTCTACATAACACCCATCTGCACAGGAAGATTGATTAATAATACATTGTTTCACTCAGAAATCTGCCTCCAATTAACCCTAGCTTGTTCTAATCACTCTTACACTCCCTGAGCACTTAAATATTCCATTTGAACCCCTGCATGCCCTTTTGTACACAGAAAATCTATTTTTTAATGTTCTTTTGACATTAGACATTGACATTTGACATTGTAGGGATACGCAAGAGTTCCCTCCAAAACAGATTTTTACATTTAATTCTTTTATATTCCAATTAGCACATAGTAGTACAGTGCTGTTCACAGAGCTAGACTAAGAGATGGGCCAGTCAGACAAGTGCCCTGAGCACCAATGTGTATATAACAACATGCTATCACCAGAAATAGATGGGAGATGAAGAATACTGCGTTTGCCAGAACTTTCCTTTCAAGGAGCATACTAGAGGGGTTGAGAATGTACAGTTGCACAGGCCAACTGAAGGGCAGACAGAGGCAGTGGAGAAGCTGGTGGGGCAAAGCTCTAGGCAGCCTGCCCAGAGGAGATGAGGTGATATTCAGGACTGCCAGCTAAGGAAGGGGAAGGCCTACAGGGTTTTCGCCAAGTATGAGGTCCAAACGACCTGAAGCAAGGGAAACTAACCCCAGTGACCAGTGGCTTCTTTCTCTAACCCTCCCCCCACCCAGCTCACAATCTCTTCTCCAAGTAAATATGAAAGGTGTGCTTTATCATTAGCTATCCTGAGGGACCCACACATTTTCCTCTGTCTTTTCACATGGCAAACGTTCAGTAAATGTTTGTCTAAACAACATAGTAATGTTTGTCTAATGGGTATCAAATGGCATTTCCTAGAATTTCCAAGCACCAGATAAACTGATGCTAAACATTTATAACTTACCAAACAGTATGCCTGAGTAGATAAAAATAATCACAAAAACATCGTGAGTACAAGAGTCTATTAGTCACGATCTCTCCTAACTCATTCTAGTGTTTAAAAATTCTGTTTGAGTTCATTCTTTCTACCTAACAAACTCTTGTCCATAGTTCCAATCTGTGATAAAAATGTTCTCAGATTCTTTCTTCTCCTTCTCTTCATGCCCACAGGTAACATTCAACTTGTCCTATTGGAATGTTTCCATTATGAACAAATATGACTGTAAGGTAACATTAATGACACAAAACAATGAACAAAAGGACAAACACTGTAGGATTCCACTTATATGAGGTACCTAGAAAAGGCAAATTCACAGAGACATAAAGTGGAATCCTGGCTACCAGCAGATTACTAGCTGAGATGGGTAATGGGAGGTAGCATTTAATGTGGACAGAGTTCCAGTGTGGGATGATGAAAAGCTCTGAAGATGGGGGTGATGGTTGCAGAGCACTGTGAATGTAATTAAATGCCATGCAACTATGAACTTAGAAATGGTGAAAATGGTAAATTTTATGTTACATATATTTTACCACCATGAAAAGAGATAACGAGATACTCTAGTCATCTTTTCCTCTAAAGCAATGCGCTCTTCCTCTACACAGGTTATTTTCCATAACTGATGTTTACACTACTCATTAAAATCAGATCAGCCAATAAGATTTTGCAAATACTATAAAAAGAGAACCACAGATTAGCGGGGGGAAGAAAACAACCTTCGCAAAATAAAAAAATCTTTAAAAAGCATCGGATAACACATTTGCGTGGGTTGGTTTGTTTGTTTTTTTTCTGTTTACTGGTCAGCTATCATAGAACAAATTTAAGAATTGAAACATTATTCCAGTTTATTCAAGTTGGAAAAAAGAGTAAGTGTAACTCTATATCTAGACTCCTCTCCCATCTCAATGTTCCTTTACCAAAGATAAATTAGAAGATATTTTTTAAGTTACTCCAAATTAGTCCATTTTAAATATTCAGAGTGCTTAATTTGTACCTAAAATTGGTCATAAAACTGACAGACCCACAAAGAGAATACACTCCAAAAGTTTCTTACCATGTCCACACCAACAAAATATCCTAAGCTTTCTTTTCCTGGCAAGACATCACAGAATATAACTGTGCCAGACTCTATAGTTTCTCCAAGCTTCAAAGAAACTCTGGAGTTTATTTCCAGAGGGGGAAGTTCCATCTGCATTGTGTCCCCTGGACCTGCAAAATCACTTTCCAATCCATTGTCATCATCTTCTAGGATTTCTAGCTTGTCCAACGCAACAAATACGCCACAGTCTTCATCACACTGAAAAAGCTGTTTCCCTTGATATATCCCATCAGTGAAACCTTGGCCACGACCTTCTTCCTAGTTTTCAAAGGAGAGGGAAAAAAAAATGATTGATAGATAAAGAGATGGAGGAAGATGACCCATAAAAAAAAGATCCACTCTGGGGATTTTGGGGAAATCACTGGGAAAATTCTAAATGACACATACAAGAAATATAATTATTAGCAGCTGCTGTTGAACTGAGTGTCTAAAAAAGAATAAAGAGGAAGCTGTATCTGATGCTGAAATATAATTAATTAACTAATTAAATTTAAAATCATAATCCCACTGTGAGAGAGCCTGGCTAGATTCTACACTGTGATTGGAACAATAATTTTGTCATAAAAAGAAAATTTTACTTTAAAAGAACAATAATATTAGCTCCATTTACTGAGTACTTACTATACGCCCGCCACCAGGCTAACTCTTGAATCAGCATATCACAAAAACACCTCCTCTATCCAAAAACCAGTTACATACTGGTTTCGCTATTTTACAGATGAGGAAAAAGATTTAGAGAAGTAGGTTGGGTAAGTAACCTGGCAGCCCAGCTATTAAATAGCATAACTGGGATTCAAACCTCTGATTGTTTTACAATCACTGTTTTAAAAACTTAATCACTAAATAAGACATGAGATTCTATATGCAAGAATGTAAAAATGTAACTAACATTTAAGTTCTTGAGAATTAATTTTAATTATGGAAATGTATCATAGAGTCCTTAGTTCTCTCTTTAGTAGAAATAAATTCCAAGATGATTTTCACATAATTATGAGGGATGACCAAAGCACATTCAAGTAGCTGCACCTTACTTTTCTAAAATCTTACAGCTACTTTTCATTACTTAATAACACACACACTGGAGCGCCTGGGTGGCTCAGTGGGTTAAAGCCTCTGCCTTCATCTCGGGTCATGATCTCAGGGTCCTGGGATCGGGCTCTCTGCTCAGCGGGGAGCCTGCTTCCCTTCCTCTCTCTCTCAGCCTACTTGTGATCTCTGTCAAATAAATAAAATCTTAAAACACACACACACACACACACACACAAAGAAAAACTGAGAAACCTACAGATGCTAATGTCACAAGATAATTAACAATTTGTGAGGTGAGTAATTCAATTATAACTGGTAGAGTTCACTTTAAACACAGACAATGTTAAAATTTCTAAGATGTGAAAGCCTTGAATAATTACACGATAGGTGTATTTCCTACTATAGTAGGTCATTTTATAAAAAGTTCTCAATGTATCATCTTTGCATCATCTCAATTTATCATTAGGAAGTAAATCCTAAGAATTATGAGTATTAAAAATTACAAAAGATTTCTGGAAAACGTTTTTGTTGTATTTAAAGGGGAAAAAACAATACACATGGGCATACAAATACACACAGAAACAAACACACACACACACACAGCCCACTAAAATGGTTTATCAAACTTACCAGTAATTCTACTCCAAAGAATATTCCCGACACTGTCCTCTCTGCTAATAAGGGTCCTCTGAAGCGCACAACTCCAGGAAATTTTTCTTCCCCAGATCTCAGCTGTACTTTCACAGGGCAGCCCACATCTATCTGGAGGCCTTTACTTAGTCTGTTTCTGTTCTTAAATAGGCTGAACCTCTCTTCACAATTGGTAATTGCCAAAAGCAACTCTGTGAACTTTTCATTTATTTCTACGACATCCTTTTCATCAACAAAGAGAACTGCGTGTGGTTGCTCTAAAATTTTTAATCCAATCTGATTTTTCTTGCCTTTTGCAGAAGGAATCCTCGAGTGCCCCACAGAACGATCCTGGATACACTGTCCTATACTCCCCTTTGGTACCTTAAGGAGCTTTTGTGTTTGTTTGTCTGTGACACTGCATTCTTGAAGAAGCAAATAAAAAATCCGCTCTTCCCAGTAGGGTGAAGTTACTTTTTCTTGGCTCCATAAGCCTGAACTCATTGTGACATTAACTCCAAAATATTAACTCAAAAAAAATGGAACTACTAAGTTTGTAGTAAAACCGCAAAAGATAAATTCACTGGCAGTCCCAAAGCACGTTTTTAGCAATTTGGTGTCCATGCTGTAAAAAGACAGCAAAGCAAAATGCCTGGAGGACAAGCAAAGAGAAACTTTACACTTTATTCTACATGACCTAAAATTAAGATTAAAGACTTCTTAAGATCTCATTCTATTAGTAAAAACACACACATAAATGAAATACTTCCAAAAGTACCTAAAAAGGTTAAAAGACATACAGTACTTGTATCTACCATAATTTTGCATCTTTAATTAAGAAAAGCCAATTGTAAAGTATCTTCAAAGACAATACAACAGTGTTCGTTTCCAAGGCAATGAAATTTATGAAACCAAATTTGAATAACAGATAACATATACATATTTAAATAGATTTTTTAACTTTAAAAAATAGCATTTTTAATAGATCCTGCCTAACTTAAATGAATAAGCTTGTATTTTGGCAGAACACACATAAATCAAAAAGGCTGTTATTTCTCTACACACAGTTTAAGTAAAAAGTTACCCACCCTAATTATTATGATAAACATCTTTTATCAAAAAAATGATGAATCATATTCTGAAAGCTTAACCATGATTTGTTTATCTATGTTCCATATTTCGATAATGGATCATTTATTTGCTCTCCAATTTCATTTCCTTCAGCATGCACATTTTGCCCTTAGATAAGCAGATGTTAATCACATTAATCAGAGCCATCATTTAATTTCTCAAAATCTCAAATAGTTTAAATCTGATTATAGTAAAGATGTCTTTAAAAATCAATTCTGTAGCCATTAAAACTTGGACTACATAACAAGGAATAAAACTGTAATACAGTAACAAATATCAAACTTTTTATACCACAATTTTAACTATGTCATCCTTGAAACAAATACAAAAAGATCATTACTCAGTTTCAAATTTTCATCTAAAATTTTTACAATACTAATCTTTCACAATTAAAATAACCTTCTCAACCCTACTTTAACTGATGGTTAAAAACGATACAATTTCATCAAATCAAATTAAGATTTAGTTAATTATCTTACTGAAAAAAATTTTTATGTATTCTCAGTCACATGAGTGTGGCCATTTGGTTTCTAAATACAGTTACTCATTCCATCCTTCTTTTTGGGGAGGGGGGCAGGGAGGGGTAGAAAGAGAAGGAGAGAGAGAGAATTTTAAGCAGGCTTCATGCCTAGCAGAGCCCGATGCAGGGCTCAATCTCACAACCCTGAGATCATGACCTGAGCTGAAATTAGGAGTCAGATCCTTAACCAACTAAGCCACCCAGGTGCCCCTCCATCCTTCTTTGAGGTAGAGGTATTCATTTCCATTCCATTTCACACCAGCGGTTGACAGCACTACCATATTTATCTATTTTATTCTTGGAATTTAGAAATAAATACTCCTAAAACCAAAGAACCACATTTTGAGTTTAATATTTGAACTTAATGATTAAATAATCCAGCAAATCTATACGTGGAATGCGTCCTTAGATAATGATGTACTCTAGAATTGGTCAAGTGCTTTTAAAAGTCTGTCCCCCTATAACCCAGAATGAGACATGCAAGTTACCCAAGACAAGATGAAAAGTTTGGCAACTCTTTAAAACAACATTATTGAAATATCTGTGTAACATTTAGTAAAGTCAGGGGCAGAGCTGGTGTAAAGTGGTTCTCTCTCTCTCTCTCTCTCTCGCTTTCTCTCGCTCTTTTCCCCCCTTTCTTTATAATGTGTTTGTCTTAATTCCACTTGAGGGCACTGTCTACTTCAGCAGGAACAGAATCAATTTATATCTGCTACTTACATAAAACACCTGTGGAAACCCCTATCTTGGCACCATCATAAACCCCGAAATCCCTCACTGAAAGCTACCCAGAGACCTAAACCCTTAATTTGGCTGCATTCCTTTAAAGCACCAAAATGAAGGATTTGTTATTTCTGACTAAAATTCTTCTCAAATGCCAACAAGTATTCTTTTCTGAATCATCAAATTATCAATATGAATATAAGCTCTCATGTGACTCTCAAGACGCAAAGATGTTTGTGACTTTGTTAAAAGGCTTGACGTTATGCTTTCTGAGTTTCTGGGTCTGCTTTCTACAGATTTATAGTCTCTGATTTTCCCTTGCAATCAGCCATTTTCTGTGGTTTCCTACAGGGTGCATTTGACTCATTCTATGGCCTTGTTGCTTTCTACCTTACTCCTTCTAACCAGTTCTGAGAAGCCAGGGGATGAACAAACAACAATAACTGAAAGAGGTATACATAAATTCGGAACAGCCTTTCAGGAGTGAAGCGCAAAGGCCTGGCTCCAGGGACAGGGTCTGGGTTACTCCCAGAAGGCTGAGATGGTCACAAAGAAATTTCTGAAAAAGGGAGTTGTTTTGTTCTCTTTATAAATGTATTTAAGTATTTTTGGCCAAAAATTGCTTTTCAAGTATGGTAATTCTCTTTAGAAAAGAAATTACTTCTTAAAATTCCTAAAAATGATATCTTCAAATAATAGGAAAATCCCTGAATCTTAATATTATATGCCCATGATTTCTACTCCGTTGGTTCCCCAGCTTAACAAGTCATGTCATGATGGCAAACAAAACCCACCAGTGGGTAATGAAATATGACCATGACGAAATTAAATTACTGTATGTAATGCATTAGGATGTTATGGTTTATATGAATTTGGTTACAGAAGTGTTTTTTGCTAATCGTTTAAGAGACAGTCCACAGTAAAATTTAATATAACTCCTTTGGATTATAAAAAAAAAAGGTGGAAGGCAATTTACCAATCATTATTAAGAACCATATTTTACAGCGAACACACAGGAGCAGCTTTGCTCTAACCTGCATTAGCAGAAGGGGGAGAGGCCTTCACCTTAATAAGCGCAGGGTTCACGTCAGACCACTGGAGCAGCCAGAGCAAAAGTTTATAAAACATGTAAAAAGCATTATCCAAAAATAAAAAGGCTTTCCTCATTTAGAAAGCACACATTAAGAGGGAATAACTTTGGAATTACCATGTTAAACACTGATTCTCTTCATTGCAACTGATAGTTTGAGAAAGGTGAATGGGGAATTTTATGACTCCAGAGCTATACAAGATAATAAATTTAATGGTAGTGAATATCTCAATATACTGCCATTACAGCAGAAACAGGTTAATAAAGAAACTTTCCTCTACTGCAGAAATGAGTAGAATGACAACGTTCTTTCACTGGATATGCACAACAGTTAGATTGAGTCTTAAGAACCCCAAGCAGTAAAATCTAAAGATGACACGGGAAAAATTCAAATGCCATTGTCAACGAGTTCTTTATCGATCAAGGTTTCTCAGTTTGTTTAGTATTTTTGTGCACTCAGCACAGTGTTAGACGCTGAGAAGTATGGCATTTTTAAGGTATGATAAGTGCCCTACTTTATGTTCTCTTACTACCTTTCAGGTCTAATTGGTTTAAAATTGCCTCTAATTACACTTTGAATGTAAATATACCACAAGTGATTCATCTAAATGCCTTCACACTTATTCCAGGCTGGAAAATTGAGTGATTATGAATATCCTGATCATTACTCTAAGTACTGAATGAAAATTACCACAGAGGTGGAATGCAATGATATATTTAACCCTAAACCATATGGAACAGGAGAAGGCCTTTCCTTTGACAACATTTGAGATGAGGGACTGGTTCAGGGTCACAAAGACTTGAAAGTATATCCGGTTATCTGAGCTTGTTGAGGGTCTGGATTCTGAACAAAGGAGAATTTAACTGTATTAAAATAAAGCCATTAAACCAAGACACAAATACTTATCAGTTTCCTATCAATGCAATGAAAAGATGGTCAAGAAATATGTTTTATACGAAAATATTAAAGGTCAGAATTACCACTTTCTAAAAGATAATATACAGTACACACAAACAGCATTAGCTACATACAACTGACAATGGTTATCTAGAAAGTACAATGTCTTTTTAATTCCCAAGCTATCAGGTTATACTGCTCAAAGAACCTCACTAGAGAAAACAAAGACAGATCTAATTCAAGAACGTTTTTGCATCTTCTCAAATATCCCAACTAAAAACCACAGAAGACTATCTAAATCAGAATAAAACTTACAGTACGAAAATACTGCCCCCAATTATAAGTGGCAAAGAGACAGAAGGTCAGCGTGAACGCCAAAGAAAGAAGACACACAGGTCTTTTTCCAAAAGCTTCTAGATAGCCAGAATAATCACCATTTTAAGGAAGAATCTCTCTCATTAAAAGAATAAGTTGTTCTACCACTAAACAGCTAAAAACAGAAAAACAGAGATTCCATGACCAGAAAAGAGTCAGCTTTATCTTTCCTCACCTACTATGTCCCAAGTGCACAAGTATCCCGTTCCTAAAACAAGCGGGATTTATAAAGCTAAAAAAAGAGTCTGGCTCCCGTATCTGCATGTATATTCACGGCAGAACAGGGAACCCCGCAGTCTCCCTCGAGTTAAGCCCCGCCACTACACTTCCAAACTGGGAACTCCCACAAGTCCTTCATCTTCCTAACATGTAATGGGCATTCAGTACGTGTAAAATGAACGAATGATCTGCTTAACTCAGGTGATAAAAGTGAAAGCCAAAAATCCATTTCCTCATCCTAATTGTTTAAGTGATTAAAAGCATATCTTCCAGCTTAAAAAAAAGGAAATATATATACATACATAAAACTTCGAATAAATGAAGTCACGGTTAATGTTTACCCCCACTGCATTGTTACACACATGAGAAAAACAAGACAAATTTCACAATTACAAAAACAAGTTGTTTTGAGGTTCCTCTGAAGCTGGTTTCCTAGGTCTTCACACCATGTGTGATGCCTATAAATTCTGTGTAACCAGGGAAAATACCTTGACAAATTTAAGAAGAAACTGTGGAAATCAGGAACAAAATACTCATCATTCGATGAATAGGATAATTGCTCCTTTCTCTCTTCTTATGATAAGGACTTTGCCAAGTCAAGCGAAATCACAGTTCAGGCATGTCGGACCATAAGAAATCACTGCTGCTGAATGTTTGCTTTATATAATAGTGCCCTGGTCTTATCAGCTTTCCACAAAAGTTACCATCCACAGGAGGGCTTCTTCACGGGAATACTATAACATTTTGCAGCAGAACCTCGGAGAACGTTCTGGGGGATATCAACATTCACAGTACACGAACTTCCACAAGAATTCCCAGCGATCGTTTTCTCCTATTACTGTTCTAGTTCCAATCCACCCACCACGCAGTGGGGAATTGGCAGCCTAATCCTCAGGGCCATTCAGTCTACTTGGGGCGTGAGGGGGTGTGCAGAAAACCAACACTTGAATGAACACCCTCCCTCAAGGCCCGGATTTTTCTCGGGGAGCCAACGACTGCCAAAGGAACAATCTTATTAAGATCTCTATTAGCCCGAATTCAAAAGCAAGGTAAGGAATGCTTCTTAGCTGAGCTAAGGATACAACTTTCCAGGGAGAACTGGGGAGAGGATGGCGGCGGGGATGGTGGGGGCTGAGAGATTGAAAGGCTCGGTGGCTGAAAGATGACAACCATCCTGAAACATGCAAATGCCACAGGGTGGAATAGAAAAGATGCCAAGTACATGAATAACCGGGCAGCTGACCCAGCTGAGAAACAAATCCAGGAACACTCTCTTCTGTCAAGACTTCCTGATCTCCCCACAGATCGTTAACATGATGAAAAAGGAAAACAGAAGGACGGAAAAGAATACCTTGTTTCGACAGAGCACACCTTTCAACTAAACAACTCCAGGTTGTTGTAGAGAACCATCCTCACCCTGGAAAGGGGGAAACTGAAAGAAAAAGCAGAACACGCCATTAACGAGGCCAGAACCCCGACAGCTCCTCCTGGACAGGAGCCACAAACACCCCCCAAAGCGACCGATCGATCCGCCCCTGGGCTACGAGAGAGAAGATATTACAGCCCAGGGCTCTCGAGGCCAACAGGGGAGGCCTGTGCCTCAGTTTCCCCATCTGTACATGGGGACCGGCGGAGGAGACGGTCTCCTGCGCGGATCCCACCCGGAGTCCTCTGTCTTCCGGAGGTCCCGGCGGCGGCGACCACGCTCCCACCGCTCGGGAGCCCTCTCAGGAAGCCCGGGGTGGGGGGGGTGCGGGGGGAAGCCCCGGGGGTGGGGAAGCTCGGGCTGACGTCAGCGGGCTCAGCACCCCGCGGGCCTGGCCGGCTGCCTGCCAGGGCAACTAACGGGCCGGCGCCGAAGGCCCGACGGCCGCGACCGCGGCCGCGGCCGAAGACGCCCCGAGGCCGGGGAGGGACGCCCGAGAGGACCCAGCCGCCTCCTTCTCGCCGCTTCAGTCGCCAGCTCACTCACTCACCTCCGGCAACGGGGCGTCGCCCCTTCCCCAGTGTCGCTAGCCCTCGTCCCAGTCCAGCCCCGGCGCCCCACACCCACCGCCTTAATATTTACCTCCGACGCGCGGCCCGGGCGCAGCCGAACCTGCTACCTGGGCCCGCCCCCACCTGCCCCGCCTCCGAGCCTCCCGGGGCGGGAGGTGGAGAGAGAGAGAGAGAGTGGGAGCGGGGGCGAGGGGCAACCGCCGAACTGACCAATCGCAGCCCGAGATGCGGTCCTGTGCACGCTCTGATTGGGCAGCTCTGTGACAGACCTTCCTCCAATGGCTGCCGGCCCGGAGCCGGCTGAAGGGACTTTCCGCTCTGTCAAGCTCGGTCGAGCAAAAGGGAAAGCGGAGGGGAGGGAAGGAGGAGCGGGGGAGGTGGACGGGGAGCTCTGGCTGATTGGACAAGAGGCTGCGGATGCCGCGTCACCATTGGTCGACACCGGAGCCGGGGCGGGGCGCCGTGCTACTCCCGGCTCCACCTCCCAGGCCCGGGTCCTGGCGCTTGACTTAGCTGTCAAAACTCCTGCAGGGAGTTTGGGTCTGGGGTGACACGAGCTGGGAATAGGATTTCAGGATTCCATGAAAAAGCAAAGCTTTAGAATCAGACTTAAATGTGAATGCTTTGCGCTTTTAATTAGTAGCCTCTTGACGTGAGAATCTCACGACCACGCTAAGCCTCAGTATCCCCATCTGTAAAATAGAGATCACCTATCCTACAGAACCGCTGTGAAACCCTGTAGTTAAAGTTTCCGATACACAGCAGGAGCTCAGTCGTTTTGAATCTCTTCTCCTCCCTCAGATTCTGCCCGGGACCTCTGCTGCTTCGAAACCTCTGTCGCCACCTATCCCAGTTTGAAGGGAGGTCTCACTAGGGTGGCGAAGAAGGGATTTCCACCCGCTGCCTCACTTAGCTCTGCACCCCCTGGCCACCAGCCAGGACTTGGGGTGTAGTTAAGGATCCTTCAACTAGAAGGGAGGTTTCTGATTCCCAAAAGTGCTCAAAATATTTAAGGGAGTGCTTTTTATAATCAGTCCCAGAGCCTTGCTTCAGAGCATGCCTTGCTGCACTGGATACTCCTGTTAATTAATTCCTTCTCCTTTGACATTTTAAGTACCAATTATAGGAGAAGGTGATTAAAACTGAGGAAAGAAGAGGGGTGTGTGTATTTAATCATGAGAGGGAAAATTTCCCCAGTGGAAAGTGACATTTCTAAAGATCTGGGCAGTTTAAACCAGCAAGTACATAAAAGAAGTCACATCAGTGATTACTAACAGTACTAGTACACAGGCCACCCACCTCCCTGGCCCTAAACACTGAGGATGAAATGGACATCTTTTGAAAACCTAAGCCTCAATGCACTTTTGTCTTTCCCTCGTTCATCCTTATCCTGTGTCCTGAGTTTCATGACCTCAGTGATGTAGAAAGCAATAAAATGGAAATCAACAGGCCTGGCTCACAGCGTGGCCTTAGGCGACACTGTTCCCTCCCGGCTCTAGATTCTCCAGTAAAGTCAGGAGGACTCAGCGGTCACCATCTGGCTGTCTGGGCTAACAATTCAGCCTGAAGACGATTTTTGCTTGACCTGTACAGTGAGGAGGAGGAGGAAGGAGAAGATGGAGTGGAGCGGGAGAGAAAGAGTTTGAATCCTTTAAGACAGGGCAGTCTCCCTTTCCCATGTTTGCCACACTGCTCACCATTCCATAGTTTATTCACCTGGCACATTTCTCTCCTTTTTCTCTACTGGCCCCCAAAAGGTCAGTTTGCCACCCCTGGATGAAGACGTCTTGAAGCTCTTTCTTTTTATTTATTTATTTATTTGACAGACAGATCACAAGTAGGCAGAGCGGCAGGCAGAGAGAGAGAGAGGAGGAAGCAGGCTCCCCACTGAACAGAGAGCCCAATGCGGGGCTCAATCCCAGGACCCTGGGATCATGACCTGAGCCGAAGCCAGAGGCTTTAAACCACTGACCCACCCAGGTGCCCCTTGAAGCTCTTTCTGATGATCGTGCTTGGTGCTGCTGAGCCTGCTGCTTTCTGCCCTACCAGCCAGCTGTGAGAGCCCTTGCTCAGTCCTCCTGTGACCCATTCCTTGAATCAGACAGTATCAAAGCCTGACTTCATCCAAGAGATATTCTTCCAAGCCAGGCCCGATAAACAAGGCTTATCTCAATTACCATCTCCCATCAATTGGTAATGACTGCCTAGAACATTGTGTTGAAAACAATTCTAAAACTGTATTCAGGCTCTCCGGGGAAAAGAGATGTCTGCCAGGGGATAAGATGGGGAAATAGTGTCATGGTGCTATTATTTGCAATCCTTGCTAAGCCAGCCTCTCCTTTTACAGAGAGGAGATTAAGGTCCAGAGAGGGAAAATAACTTGTTCCAGGTCACCCAGGAGATGAGCTGAGACCCTGATTCTCCTGATTTCAAGTCAGGATCTTTCCAGCTCTGTTGGAACAAATTCTCCAACTGCAATGCCTCTCCTTTCTGCTTTCCAATCCTCTCCTTGTTTCAGGCCTAACCAAAGTCCACCCTCTTCCAAGGGTCTTTGCAGATCACCCCAGGCCCTGTTGTTGATCCCCTCCACCACCACACAGCCTGTTCCACTGCTGGCTGAATTACCAAGCATGGACCAAGAAACAGGGGTGTCTGAGAGAGATTCCGCCCATACCCTCCAGCAAGGAAGGGCAGACCTTAAAGGACTAGCTCTGAGATCACTTCCTGAGCTACCGAGGATGGAGTGAGCCCCAGAACGAGAACTGTTCTGAGCACACATAAGAGGCAGTTGGGCACTGAGGGCAGGCCTGTTCAAGGAAGTCACCTATAAGATGAAATAAGGAAGATGACTAGCAGCCCAGGGGGAAAGGGAGCACTTCGGGCAAAGGGAACAAGGCTGTGCATGACAACGTTGAAGGAACTGAAAGAGGCAGAGCACAGTAAATGGGGGCACAAAAGAGCCCGGCAGGTAGGACCTTGGGAGTCAAGTTTTGGTCTTTAGTTTAGGAACAGGATCCCGTTGAAAGATTATTATTTTTTTTTTTTTGCTGTTTTCTGTTTTCTTTTTTCTTTTTTTTTTTTATAAACATATAATATATTTTTATCCCCAGGGGTACAGGTCTGTGAATCGCCAGGTTTACACATTTCACAGCACTCACCATAGCACATGCCCTCCCCAATGTCCATAACCCCCCCCCAGCAACCCTCAGTTTGTTTTGTGAGATTAAGAGTCACTTATGGTTTGTCTCCCTCCCAATCCCATCTTGTTTCATTTACTCTTCTCCTACCCCCTTAGCCCCCCATGTTGCATCTCCTCTCCCTCATATCAGGGAGATCATATGATAGTTGTCTTTCTCCGATTGACTTATTTTGCTAAGCATGATACCCTCTAGTTCCATCCACGTCATCGCAAATGGCAAGATTTCATTTCTTTTGAGGGCTACTATGCAGCCATTGAAGGATTTTAATAGGGTAGTTAGCTCTGATTCTAAACCATCTTGCATAGCTCTCATTGTACACAGCAGGAACCCAACCAAAAGCCATTGGATTAAATGGAGCTCTTTCTCCCAAGAGCTGGAAACCTGGTGGCCTGGGAGGGACCTATGACTTGGAGTAACACCCACGCAGGTCCCCAGCAAACCTTCTCAGTAACACGATTAACCGTCATTTCTGAGACCCTACCCTGTGCTCCCCAAATGGCTACCACAGGCTACCTCTTACTTCCAGCCTCACAAAATTCAGTGTTGCAGATGGTACTGCCCGCTTAGTTAGCCTCTCCACCCCACAGAGCCAGAAGGGAGCTCCTGATACTCCTCCACTCCCCCTGAAGTCCTTCTGCCTTCCCCATCCCAGGAAATGGCAACTCCTGGCTGTTCATGCAGCTTGCCATGCTTCCAGGCATTTCCCTACTGTTCCTGGGATAGGGGCGTTCATAACTCCAAACCAGGGAGCTAATGAATGAGCTCCGAACCACGGGGCTAACTGCATGGGCCTTTTCTCCATACAGCCCGGCCTGGTGTTTCAGTCCATGGTGGGTAGAGAGTCTGCCTTTCCAAGGATGTGCTTGTTTCTTAGCAGTGGGGGTGGTTGGGGGGTGGGTCTCCAGGTGCAACTGAACATGCTCTCTGGGGGCTTTTACTCCGGTCACCCAAAAGCTCTTTTTGATAAGATAAAAGTGATTACTTTAATCATCTTTCCCCTAATCCTGCTGAACTAAAAATACTTGCTCCTCTCTTGGAGCTATTTGCTGTTATCAATGATAAATGATGTCTGTGTGATTTGAAAAACATACCCACAGAGAAAAGGGGTCTAAGGCTCTTCATTGGGACTTCTGTGCTACCTCTGGGATCCCATTTGGGACAGTAAACACATTAAAAATGATCTCACGTGGCAAGAAAACTTCCTCCCTTAGGAAGGAGACACTGATGGTGTCAGGAGAAAGGCAATTCGTTTTTAAAATCTTTTTTTTTTAAGATTTTATTTATTTATTTGACAGAGAGAGAGATCACAAGTAGGCAGAGAGGCAGGCAGAGAGAGAGAGGAAAGGAAGCAGGCTGCCTGCTGAGCAGAGAGCCCCATGAGGGGATCAATCCCAGGACCCTGGGATCACGACCTGAGCACCAAGCAGAGACTTTAACCCACTGAGCCACCCCGGCACCCCTTGTTTTTATAATCTTGCCCAACTTCTATGTTTTGCTTTAAGCAGGTTGATTCTCCGTTAGGTTTACAAATATTTGAGCATCAGTTATGCACTAGGCACTATTCTAGCCCCAGAGGACTCTGCAGCAAGCACAGCTCTTGTTCTTCTCATGGAGCTGACATTCTAGGGGAAGGAAGAAACACACGTATGTCAATTGGCCTGTGCTGGGAGGACACTAGTAAGCAGGGCTGGGGAGCAGAGAGTGGTTGGGGACTACTGTTGGAGGTAGACAGCTCAGGGAAGGGGTCTCTTGATGAGTTGACATTTGAACAAAGACCTACAGTAAATGAGGAAGCCAGCCAGGCCACTGTCTAGGGAAGAGTGTTCCTATAAGAGGAAATAGGCAGGTGCAAAAGTATGGACACAGTTTGCATGGTCAAGGAGCGGCAAAGAAGCCGTGTGCTGGAGCGCAGGGAACGGGTGTCTGAGTGGCAAAGGGGAAGTCCATGAAAACCCCAGGGGTGGGCCAGGGGACCTTAACTTTCACCTTGAGCTAGATTGGGAAGTTCTGGTGAATTTCAACCAGAGCAGTGGCTCATCTGACTTACCTGTTAACAGGCTCATGTGTGGGCTACAAGCCAGCCAGTTAAGACACTAATGCAGTAATCCAGGCAAGGCAAGGGTGCACCCCTTAGGAGGCCCTTCTTTCCTGGGGGTGGAGGGGAGACGGTGAGAAGGACAGGTATGTGGAACTGAAGATGTCAAGAAGGATGTTGTTCCAAGTAAAAATGGAAGAGGAGGGATTTTCTCGGTGATTGATAACGGAGGGGTGGTGATGCCTAGAGGATTGAAATTTGTGGATTATTCCAGAAGTGATGATAGGTGGGATTAAATCTGGAGCCAAAAAAAAAAAAAAAAAAGGAATCTTGGAGAATCCAATGATCTGGGATTGCCAGTCTGCACAGCTGAAGGCTCTCCCCATGTAATTCTCCAAGGGGCATCCTGGGCAGGTCATTCATGACCTTGCCGCTCACCTGGGGAAACCTGCTACCCAGGGCCCGGGCCTCTGTGCTCCCTGGCGTGCCGGCACTACCAGCGTGTGCCATCGCTGTGTGCTTCGCCCACTGGGCTGCGCCCATCTCCTGAGTGGGGATGGAGGCGTGAAGATGTGTTGGTGCAATAATGAAATGATGCTGTATGTAGTCTCAACTCAGCCTGCTCGGAATGTGATTCCACCTCCCACACTTTCTGCGGGGTATATTCGTTCCAGTATCTGGTTTTGGCACTATGTGGGGGGGGGGGTAACACTCAGATTGACATTTTTTTTTCTTCTAGGATGATGGTGAATATAATTGAAACTCTGAAGCTCTTTTAAAAAAAAAATTCTCCTACTCTGGTACCTTTTTTTTCCCCCTGCACAGAAGAATTATGTATTTTCAGCCATAAATCTGGAATGTGTCTGTTCCTGTTCTGCAAAGTGATTTCTGGAAGTCGAACTAACTTGTTCGCAAGTTACCTGTCTGGGCCCAGAATGCTTTTGGTGGATCTGCTGGACTTTGGAAATTTAAGAAGCTTCTACTCTGAGCTCTGACGGCAAGGACATATCTAGGTCCCAGTGGCACCCTTTGCTGGGCCCTCTTGAACTCTTCTCCATAATCTCTCCCTGGGTTATAACCTCCGGGCCCAATGAGCCCATCCCCCTTTAGAGGTTGAGGACACTCATGCTGTTAAACCTGGCAATGACCTCTCCCATGGGCTTCAGATTCGTGGCATAACTTGGTGTCTCCACTTGATGTCGCTCAGGTATCCCAAACTTGACAATCCAAAACAAAGTCCCTCCCACTTCCAAGCTTGCTTCCCATCTGTCTTCCCAGCTGACCTCCAAGATGGTGTGCCCCAGTGACTCAAGTCAAAAATCGAGGGGACTTGAATCTCCCCTCCCCCTCTTCTCTCATCCATTCCATTTGTTAGCCTTTGGGAATCAACTCCTAGGATGTTTCTGGAATCCGTCCTCTTCTCTCCACCTTTGCTGACACCACATTAAAACAACTGCCTCTCTCACCTGCAATAGCTTCTAGGTGGTTCTGTCTACTTTTTCTGCTCGTCCCTCCCTTATGCCTTCCAGTCCCTTCTCCAACCAGGAGCAAAAGAGGTCTTCTTTAAATGTCATTGGGTCACATTTGACCCTGCTTAGAACTCTGCAATGGCTGGTCACTCTTCTAAGATCAAGCCCAAGCCGTTGACCATGGTCAACTAGGCGCTTCGTGAACTGATCCTACCTACCTCTCTGAGCCCATGTAGTGACACTCGCCCCTTAGTTTGCCTTAAATATATTTGTCTCTTGTGGCTGCTGTGACAAATTACCCAAAACTTGGTGGCTTAAAATGACACCAATTACTTCTCTTACAGTCCTGGAGGCCAGAATCAAAGTGACAGCCGGGCTATGTTCTTTCCACAGGTTCTAGGGGAAATTCCATGTCCTTGACTTTTCCAGCTTCCAGAGCTGCACTCCTTGCCCCCATGGGGCCCCATCTCCCACCTTCAAATCCAGCAGTCTAGCAACTTCCCTCAGTGATCACACCGCCTTCTTCTTCTGTGTCAAATCACCCTCTGCCTCTCTCCTATAAAAACACTTTTAGTTACAAATACAGCCTATGTAGATAATCTAGGAAAATCTCTCCATCCCAAGAACCTCATCTTTTTTTAAAAAATTCTATTTATTTATTCGTGAGAGAGAGAGGCAGAGGCAGGGGGAGAAGCAGGGAGCCCAATGTGCGACTTGATCCCTGGACCCCAGGATCATGACCTGAGCCAAAGGCAAATGCTTAACCAACTGAGCCACTCAGTGCCCCAGCCAAGATCCTCATCTTAATCACATCTTTATTTTTATTTTTTATTTTTTGAGAGAGAGAGAGAGAGAGAGCTTAAGCGGGGACAGGCAGAGGAAGAGGGAGAGAATCTCAAGCAGACTCTCCACTAAGCAGGGAGCCTGATGTGGGGCTCAATCTCCCAACCCTGAGATCATCACCTGAGCCAAAATCAAGAGTTGGACGCTTAACCAACAGAGCTACCCAAGCGCCCCTAAATCATATATTTAAAGTACCTGTTGCCAAATAAGGCAACAAACTCAGGTTCAAGGAAGGAGTTAAATATTTGGGGCCGTTATTCAGGCTACTACATGTACTGGGCTCTTTTCCATGACAGGTCTTCCTGAAGCTTGTCCTTGGTAAACAAGCCCCCTGACTCTTGGCAAGGCCAGCCCCTCCTCATTCTTAGGGTCCCAACCCTTACCTGTCTCTGCTCAATCCCCAATCTGAAGATTCCCCTCTATCTTGAACCTTCCTCTTTTTTTTTTTTTTTTTTTTTTTGAGAGAGAGAAAGTGCACCCACGTGAGTGGAAGGGAAGAGCAGAGGGAGAAGTAGGTGCTCCACTGAGGGGGGAGCCTCACATGGGGCTCGATCCCAGGACCCTGGGATCATGACCTGAGCAAAGGTAGACACTTCACCAACTGAGTCACCCCGGCACCTCTACTTATTTCCTTCCTAGCAGTTACCACAGTGGACCTTATTTTCTGTATCTTCCAGTTCACTAGTTTTCTGCCCACCTCTCCCCTCCTCACCAACCTAAATGCCTTGAGGACCGGGATCGTGTCTCTGTTGTTCTTCCACCGATGCTCCTACCATATCTGGCCCATAAATCATTGCTGAAGGAATTTCAGGAAAATGAAATTTACAATCCAAGATGTTGCCAGATGCACGGACTGCTGTGTTGACTCCTCAGGGAAAGCTGGCCTAGTCGATCCCCACCTCCCTCCCGATCTTCTGTCTCAGAACAGTGGACTGGACAGAAACGAACACCACGAGCAGAGGGCCCACAGGCAAGCCCACACGCGGGAGCCCACGGACATGCCGCCGCATTTCGCAAGCCAAGCCCACAAAACCTGGCCAGGGAGCGGATCTCACTTTGGTGAGGTGCCCCCTGAGCTCATTAAATGCAGCTGAGAATTATTTCAGCAAGACCTTCCCAGGAGGCTGCTTGCTGAGAAGAGCTGTTCCAGAACCTTCTCCATCCTTCTCCTGCTAAAGACTCCTGGAGCCCACATTGGCCTTGCCACCCCTCAGGGCACCATGAGACTTCCGCACGGCCTCAGACTTCACGCAGGGTTAGGCCTTTCTAAGCCGAAGCCCAGAGCGTTTTGTTTGCAGGGCTTAGTTCTAAGAATTGCCTTTGCCCTAAACAATAAATGTTCTGGTCCAAACATCATTCTTCCCTCTCCAAGTAAAAAACTGCTGCTTTAATATCTGACAACGTTCAGGAATTTTTTTCTTTTTTTAATATTTGGTCACAATGAAGACAGCTTGGGTGGGGGGAAGGCTCTCCACCGTTTTCTTCGCTATGACTATTTACAGTGTAAAATCCGTGGTTGTATTTTTTATAAAAAACAAACTGGGGAGAATAAAACAAAGTGGTTTGTAAATATTAACCAGTGTTCACAAATAATAATGTTTAAGTAATAACACTTGCACAGCATCTGACAGTTTACAGAGGCTTCAACATGCAACATTTGGGGGAAAAAAAAAAAAAGTCCGGGAAAACATCTGTCTTATAAGGAAAAGTCTTTGATCTTGCCCCTGTAAACTTCTGATCCATAACTTTCTATCACGTAACACCGAACCACCTCTTTTGAATCTATTTTGGAAGTCTGCTGTCAGAGTCCCTCTCCCAGGCACCAGCCAGAGCCCTGGCAGAATCGCTCCAAATCCTGGCCAGGACTGATTCCACAACACTGCGTTTGGGTGGAGAGCGGCTTCCAAAAGCTTAACTGAAGACTAATTGATTTCCCCAGAAATAAAAGTGTGTGTGCGATATCAGCTGTAGTGTGGTCTTATTTTCCTTGAAAATCCAGAATGTCTGGGGGAAATAAGTGGCTGTCACGTGTCCCCTTTCAATAATGTCTTAAGTATCGGGAAGGACAGCAGGTAAATTATAGACCTTCCCACCCTGCATTTGTGACTCTAAATATCAAAGCTGAAAACATCGAGTATTCTGAATCCTTCCCACGTGCAGGGGGATCCAGAACGGGGAGAGGGGCCAGATGTGGGGAACAGCCTGGAGAGATGACCACCCAGGAGTGAAAACCTGGCAGAAAGTTGCGTCCTGAGTCCCCCTCCTCATTGTGAGTCAGGCGGGAAGGGGCCTCTCCTGCGGATCCAGGTCTCGAACCCACAAGGATACGATAACATCCATGGGCCCCGCTGTCCTATGTCAGATCAGCAGAAGGCAGGGAGGAGCTGCCCTTCTGCTGCATTCCGTGGACTGAATCTTGGGCAGAACCGGACGCAAAATCGGCTGCAGAAAAGTTTGCTCTGAAGGACCCTGTTGCTCCTTCCTCTGCTGAAACAGAGATGACCCACTCCGCCAGCCCTGACCTGGGCAGGACACGGCTCTGTAATCCAGCTTTAGGGGTCCAAACCCGCAGCCTGCTCGCAAACATGCTGAGATCAACATTGGCCCCCAGGCTTCACAGCAAGAGTCTGGTGTCTCTCTGGCCGAGCCTCTCCACTTCCTCAGCAGAGAACGAGTTGCCTCGGAGCCTAAAGGGGACAAAGCAAAGAGAGGTTCGGATGAGTGCTGAGCCAGGATGGTGTTTTGTTTTTTTTTTTTTTAAGATTTTATTTATTTATCTGACAGAGGGAGAGCACAAGCAGGTAGAACAGCAAGTAGGGGGAGAGGGAGAAGAAGGCTCTCCGTTGGAGGAGAGAGCCCGATGTGGGACTCAATCCCGGGAACCTGGGATCACGACCTGAGCCGAAGGCAAATGCCCAACCCACTGAGCCACCCAGGCGCCCCAGGATGGTGCTTTTAATGGGAGGCTGCTACTTTCTAAACCTGGGCCTCGATGGCCTGGCCCTTGGGCCCCGCTGCAGCCCTGCCCTGCTGGCGTTAGCCTCGGTCCACCCAGGGCAGCTCACAAAATCATTGCGTGTGATGAAGCAAGACTTTGTGACTGCAGAGAAAATCCACACCAGCCCCAGTCGGCCCCAACTCTCCAAGGTCCACGATTCTTTTTAAGGCAACAGCAGAATCTACCAAGAATGCAATGAGCAAACCCTCATGCCCTCCGAAGTCCTGCCAACAGGTGGCAAATAACATCAGAACCCTTAAAATATCAACCCGATGCTGGCTTCTTCCCCCTGGACGCAGAATGTGACATTTCCTATGACCATGTGATGGTTAATACAAACACAGAAACAAAAACCCACGCTCTGCCCAGGACCCGAGGACCTCACGGTCTACCAGGCTTATGTAATCATACGGAAAGGAAAAATCTCTTCCCGGGGTAGACTCCGACAAGTTTTTATTTTTAACTTCATCATCCAATATGTATTGTTGCTGTTGCCTTGATATGATTTTTGAGGGAGGGACCGGTCCGTCAGCATATGCAAAGCAGGGGTTACAAGTTTGCAGGGACGAGACAGGCAACATAGAGCAGTCAAAGGAGCCTGGTGCAGGGCGCCAGGCTTGCTGGGTATGGGATCGGCATGAGCTGCTCTGCCCAGCTCAGTGGGGTCAGCCCTACTCTACTCTGCTTACTTGCTGGCATTTCCCGTGGGGACCCAGAGTTGGAAGCCTTGGGAAGAAAACTCAGAAACAAAGATTTCCATGGGGGAACCTCCTAGTTTTGAAAGGTTGGCTTGTAGCTCAGTGCCTGAAACATGCACAGTGAGACATTCACGCGTTACACGCCAAACCAGGGGAAATCTTTGTACTTACTCTGGGAGTGAAAAATACATCCGTGGAAGGAAGGAACATACATCTCTGAAGGTGAGACTCAGTGTTTTTTCCAAACACATGAAGGAACATGGCTTTTAATTATAAAGATCTGGAAACACTGTGCAGCAGCACCATCCTCCCCCCATCTACCCCCGGCCCCCAATGTCACCTCCACCCAGAGACAACAGCCCTGACCTGAGAAGGCAGGTGCAATGCCCCCAAGTTCATGTGTCCATGTCCATCTTCCACCACACCCCTTCCTACACTGTCACCGGGAACGGAAACCTTCCTGAATACTCAGGGTTTAAAAATGAATGAAATGGGGGCGCCTGGGTGGCTCAGTGGGTTAAAGCCTCTGCTTTCGGCTCAGGTCATGATCCCAGGGTCCTGGGATCGAGCCCCGCATCGGGCTCTCTGCTCGGCGGGGAGCCTGCTTCTTCCTCTCTCTCTGCCTGCCTCTCTGCCTGCTTGTGATCTCTCTGTCAAATAAATAAATAAAATCTTTAAAAAAAAAAAAAATGAACGACATGGTCCCTGCTGGGAAATGGGAAAACATCTTCCCCAGACAGAAATTAGATCCACTGCAAGCAGAATGGCATGGGATGTCAGAGCCCAGAGGGAAAATGCTCAGGTTCCCTCTTTCTCCTGGCCCCATTTTACAGATTGGAAAAAGGAGGCTCAACGAGGTAAAGGGGCTGGCCCAGGGGCCTTACCAGACTTCTAGGATGGTGTCATTCCTTTCCAGGGCCCGCAGGAGGGCTTCTGCCCCAAAGTAGGTGATGCAGTTGTCAGACAGCCTGGAGAAGAAGACGGAAGGGTGAGCTTCAAGGATGCTCGGTTCTCCTCTTGGGCCTGTCCGATTAAAGGCGGCTTTGGGAGGGGGCCAGCCTACAGAAGCCCACCTGCCCCCTTGACATGTCCCTCTTCTGTCTGAGATTCCCAAAGAACTCATCCACAAAGGCTCAAGGCCCCCAAGGAAATGCACCCCTCTCTCCCCGGATTCGTGTATCTAGTCAAGTAGCTACTCCCTTTGGAAGGCGATCTGGCATGAGGGGTTAAGTATGTGTGTTTTACTCCCTGGGTTCCAATCCAGCTTATACTGCTCCTTTTTGGATTTCCAGCAAATTAATGCCAACTTCCTTTAGGTCTTCCTCTGTAAGACCTAAAAGAGCACCTACCTTGTGGAATTTGAGTTAAAACAAAGGAATGGGAGCACCTGGGTGGCTCAGTGGGTTAAAGCCTCTGCCTTCAGCTCAGGTCATGATCCCATGGTCCTGGGATCGAGCCCCGCATCGGGCTCTCTGCTCAGCAGGGAGCCTGCTTCCCTCTCTCTCTCTGCCTGCCTCTCTGCCTGCTTGTGATCTCTGTCTGTCAAATAAATAAATAAAATCTTAAAACAAAACAAAACATACAAACAAACAAAAAGGAATGGTGGTGCATTTGGCCCCGTACTCAACTGATGGGAAATAATCAATAGACGGCAATATTTCCATTTGGGGAGTAGATGGGGGACACAAGGACATGGATTTGAGCAAATACAAGGTTGGCAGTTGGGAGGGGAGAAGGCACCCTGTTAGGGACAATGGGGGAAGAGCCACTACCCTTTGCCGTTCTTTTAGCTCACAGCTTGGCCTTGGAGACATCTCCAGGAAGTGTAGGCCTCCTCCAGGATTTCAGGACCATCCAGGAAGCAGCCCCAAAGCCAACACTGATAATAACAAGAGCCAGTATCTGCTGAACTCTTACAACGCACCAGCCCAATACCTTCCTCAGTAACACTCACGACCCTAAGAGCAGGGTCCCCTTATTACCCTCCTTTACACTCAGTGCCACTGAAACACAAATCCACAGAGAAACAGTGGGTAATGTTGGAGCCGGGGTCCAAACGCAACCCATCAGGTACTGGAGCCCTTACACTGAACCAACGTTTTGTAGTCACTTTGCCTGGAAAAAGAAGGAAGCAGGCCTTTTTTTTTTTTTTCTTTTTTCTTTTTTCGTTCTTCCTTTTTTTTTTCCCCCTAAGATACATAAGAAGCTTGCTTTTTTTTTTTTTTTTTAAGATTTTACTTCTTTATTTGAGGGAGAATACAAGCAGAGGGAAGGGGCAGAGGGACAAGCAGACTCCTCTCTGAGCAGGGAGCCTGATGGGGGGCTCAATCCAAGGACCCCAAGATCATGATCTGAGGCAAACTCAGATGCTTTAACTGACTGAGCCACTCAGGTGCCCCAGGAAGCTCGCTTTAATGGGGAAACCATGAGGGATGATGGGATTCAGGGGTGCTTCATTCTACCAGGCAGCGGGGAACAAAGCCATCTGCTATCCCTGGCAGCCCATGGGGTCGCCTGGGCTAAGTCTGTGTCGGTGACGAAGGACAAACATGCCAGGTCCACATCTGGTTAGTACTAAACTAACTAAGGTACTACTGCCAGACCCCCTCCCCCATGTGCAAAGCCTGGCGTCCCCCCTTAGACAATCCAGGCATCCCCCAGTCCTCCCAGCTCGGTTTCACCCAAGTGACGAGTGGAAGTGTTTTCCCCCAAACATTTGGCAACTTCCTCGCCCCTGCAAAGCAACACAAACAAGCATTGCCAGAGTGGCTGGCGGGCTGGCGGCAAAGCAGACACTCTCCCAGAGGCAGCTGTCTGCCCGCCTCTGAAGCCGAGTGTGTTCCATGGGCCACATTTGCCAGGGCGGATGCCACCCTTCCTATCACACAAGGAGCTGTCTGAGGCGGTCCCTTTCCAGTAAGACCATTCGTACCCCAGCAGGCACGGTTCCATCCTCAAGAAGCCCATGCACCAGCAGGTGATGACCCCTAGCTGGGCTCCTCCTCACATCCTTTGTCCCTTTCCTGGGGGGGGGCGAGGGGAGGCCCCACCGAGCCCACCACTAGGGGTGGCCACCACTTCTGGCCAACACTGCCGCCCTCCAGCTGGTGGCTCCTGGACCCTCCGCAGGACCTTCAACCAGAGCCTACCCACCTTCACCAGCCTTCTCCACCACCACCAGCCTCATCCAAGTTTCCTTCATCTCCTGCCTGGAAGACAGCAGGAACTCCTGCCTTGTCTCCCCACTTCCATCTTACCCCTCTCCCATCTGTTCTACACAAAGCAGCAAGTATGATCTCGTTGTGATGTAAATCAGATCATGTCACTGCCCAGATTAAAATCCTCCCAAGGCTTCTCAATGCCCCTAGAATAAAACCCCAGATCCTTCCCATGGCTCTAAGGCCTATATGCCCCACCCATCCTGCCCCTTCCTCCCTCCACCCTCCCCTCCAACCATGTAGGCCCTGCCTGCCCTTCCCAAAAGCACAAAGCTTTTTTCTGCCGCAGGGCCTTTGCACTTGCTGTTTGGTCCACCTGGGGGGCACATTCCTGAGACCTCAGCATTACAAGAACAATAACGTTTCTGGTTATTCAGGTTTCAACTCCAATGCCACCTTCCCAGGGAGGCCTTGCCCAGGCAGCTGCAACCCTGCCCCTCCAGATACTCCCAGACACATCTTTCCCTTGAATTCTCTTTAGAGCCCTTATACATCATCTTGTATATCTGCTTACTTGTTCATTATCTGCCTCTCCCACTAGAACCGAAGAGCTAAGGGGGCTGAAGCCTGCTCTGTTCTTTCCACCACTCTATCCTCGGGGCCTCCAACAGTGCCTGGCACAGTTAGTGTTCTGGAAATACTTCTTGCATCAAAACATAAATGGATGAATGTAGGCATGGATGCACAACAAAGAAATAAATGAATGCACCCATGAATAAAGGCAAGCGTGCTTGCCTGCACAGCACAAGAGAAACCACTGGCAATGATGGAAGAAGACATCTGCCTGAGCCAAAGATGACCTCGCCCCCAGAGAGGGGGCAGGCAAGTCCTGTAAACCCCATAGTGGATGCCATCGGCAACCCATCCATATGCCCTCAGCTTTCCCCTCTAACTCCAGGGCCTGCTTGCTGGGAAAACCTCCACTCTCTGCCAGAGGACTTTCTACAGACCCCCAGCGTGTACTCGGCCATGTGCAGGGCAAACCGGAAGCTCTAGAAAATTCATATTCCCACAAGCACATGGACGCAGGACAGGCAGTTGGGGGATAAATATCCCGGCTGCCTCGCTCCTTGGTTGGGGAGGGGTTTCTGGAGCTCCCCAGCAGGTCTGAGCCCCCGCTGCCCTCGGTGATAAGCAGGATCATAACTGCTTGATGACACTCTTGTTCCTGGGTCCATGTCCTCCCCCATGTCATGTCACTGACCTCTCAGCATCGTGAGCTTGGACCACCTCCCCAGTAAACAACTCACATTGGAATCCCCCTCTGTGTCTGGGGGATCCCTGAGTTAGCCTGGTGGGAAGCTGCCCAGATTACTCACCCACCCCCAGCCCCCCTACCAGGCCAGTCATTGTCATCCCGGCTTTTGCTCACAGGGTCCTTACTTCAGAACTTTCAAACTTGAATTCCTCTCAAGTCCTTCGGCAAGAGAACACACACCTTCATCCTGGAGACGGTTCTCCTCCAGGCTGGCAAGAGCAAGAGAGAAAACCCGGTTGATACAGTAACGTTTATTAGGGAAGAGGAGGTCAATAAGGATTAATCTGCCCCCCCCCCCCCAGTTAGAAAAGCCGACTTCTGAAAAATCTACATTTACAGAAAAAGTGAGAACAGGGAGAGTTGGGGGTGAAGGTTTTCATTCTGGGGGTGTCTCTGGGAGAGAATTCACCCCAGGCTTCCTCATGTCCCAGTGACCTAACAGCCATTTTCCGTTTCTTATTCATGGAAGCCTTATTCTATTTGGGCAGCCCTGTGCTTGATTCAAAAACAAACAAACAAACAAACAAAAGCTGCATTTCCCACTCTCCACGATGGCCGTGTTGGCCAGTGATGTCCACATGGCCAAGTGCTGGTGATGGGGCTTCTGGAAGTCATCTTTCCAAGACAGAAACCTCGGTTGCCTGTGCCTCCTACCCTTCCTGGATATACAGACTGAATCTGGGGACACAGAAATAGTGCTGCAGGTACCAGAAGCCGTCTGGTGACCATGAGGCACCCAACCTTGAAGCCACAGACTGAGGATGTGAAGGGACAGACAGACAGCGTCTTCCGGCCCCTGCTGGCCTGCTGGAGCCATTACATACCAGCTCCACGCCCCCCTGCCTCCAGACTGGTCCAACGTGAAGATGATAAATCCTTTACTGGTCTGAGCTCCTGGACATGGAGTTCTTCCTGCCCTACAGCCCAGCCATGTCATCATAACTGATACACCCAAGGGTGAGACCTGCCTCTAACGAGAATTTCCAAAGGGTACAGTCAATCAGGATATAACCAATGGGATGTCAGCAGAGCTACGGAGCCCTGCTGAAGCCAAGGCCACTAAAATATCCATTTTGTGACAATGATCTGAGGTTTCAATGCCCTTCCACTTCCTGGAGAAAGCAGCATTTGATCTCCCTGATACAATCAGGGACTGCCCAGAACACATCCTAGGAAGACCAGACTAGTGGCATCTAAAGGACGGGAAACCTAGAATCAGTTTCAGGTCAGCAATGTAAGTACAATTTCCAGTTCACCTTTTAACTTGCTCCAAACCCCACTCCACCTTCCAAGGTGACCCTCACTCTACTTTCCAGTATTCTTAGATACTCGCCTTAGAAAAACAGGGCGCCTGGGTGGCTCAGTGGGTTAAAGCCTCTGCCTTCAGCCCAGGTCATGATCCCAGCATCCTGGGATCGAGTCCCACATCGGGCTCTCTGCTCAGCAGGGAGCCTGCTTCCCCCTCTCTCTGCCTGCCTCTCTGCCTACTTGTAATCTCTATCAAATAAATTTTTAAAAATAATTAATTAATTAAAAATTTTTTTGAATTTTAAAAAAAAGAAATAACAACACAGGGACACCTAGGTGGCTCAGTCGGTTAAGCGACTGCCTTCAGCTCAGGTCATGATTCGGGGGTCCTAGAATCGAGCCCCACACCGGGCTCCCCAGTTGGCGGGAAGCTTGCTTCTCCCTCTCCCTCTGCTTGTGTATCCTCTCTCTCCATCAAATAAACAAATAAAATCTTTAAAAATGAAAAAAAAAACATTTTGCATACAATAACATATGCTTTACCATTCAAAGCAGTCATCCCCTCAATTTACTGTGTCCCCAGATCCATTCGGTAAGAAACCTGGGATGCAGGTATTGTTCGATGACTTGCCAGAGATCACAGCGGGCCTGGAAGCTCAGCTGGCTGGATTCCAGAGTCTCTGCACCCCACCATTACACCTCACGGAGGAAGGACACAAACCCATATGCTTCATGCCACCCGGACAGAGAGAAAGACAATCCCGAAAGCCCAACTGCTCGATTATCCAGCCCCGTTTTTTCCGTTTCCATGGAGGAGACCCAGGAATGAAGAAAGGCTGTTAAATGCCTCCCCAAAGCAGGGGATCCCCCCCAACTCACCAGAGTTCTTCCAGTGACACGTTCTTTTCCAACATTAATGCTAAGGCTTGAGCCCCCGTGCTGCCAATGTTGTTGCCCACTAGGCTGAACGAAATCAAGGATTGAAAACATGTCAGGGCGGGGAGGGACCACAGAAATAAGCTTAGCCAAGAAGGGCAAAATGCACATGTATGGCCCTAATCCCTAGTCCGTTTCACCTTGGACATGACTGATTGATTACCCTGCTCTCCTTCGTGAAGCCCAGGAAGCAGCCTTAGACTCCTTCCCGACATGATGTCCTGGGCAGACACTAATAATGGACCGGAGTTGGTCCTTGAGATAAAATACATCTGAGGCAGCCCCAAATCTTCAACTTATAGATAAGGAATCAAGACCCATTTTAGAATTTTTTTTTTTTAATTTTTTAGCGAGAGACACAGAGAGAAGGAGAGAGAGAATGGGGAGGGGGAGAGGGAGAGGGAAAGAGAGAGAATCTTAAGCAGGCTCCATGCTCAGTGGAGAGCTGGACATGGGCCTCGATCTCCCGACCCTGAGATCACTACCTGAGCCAAAATCAAGGGCCGGATGCTTAACTGACTGAGTCACCTAGTTGCCCTTGAGAATCAAGACCCTTGAGAGGAGAAGGGATACTCCAAAGTCACCCAGAAAGACTCAACTGTCCTGATTCCAAATCCAAGGGTCTTTTTTTCTTAGGGTGGGGGGAAGGGGTAAAAATAAAGTTGAAGCAAATGAAGGATTTTCAAATCTGGCCCAGGTTCCTCCTCCCTCCTCATGCTGGCTCCCCACAGCCATGCAGATCCCGAAGCTTACCTGAGCCACCTCAAGCTCTGGTGATCCCCCAAGGCTTCAGCCAAGGCCTGGGCCCCCTCGTCACCCACCTTGTTGCCCCACAACCTAAAAAGGGCAACAGATTCTGTCAGTCAGTCCGTGAGTAACTGCTATGTGTTCTAGACCCGCATGAGGAGTGCCCTCCCCCTCTACGTCCCCGGCCGGAGGGGCTAGGACCACCCAATTCCAGAAGGGTCTCAGTGGTGCTCCTAGATCCCAGCACAGTGGACCCACCTCCACATTTTTGGAAGGATGGCCAAACTACATTTAGACGTTTTTCAGCCAGATTTACAAACCATCAGATTTAAAGAACAGGAGTGCATGCCCTCAGGGACAGGGAACTCCTTCTCAGTGACAACTTAAAGGGTTGTGACATTTTTCCTGAGCTTTAGGTCAAAGCAGTTTCCCAGTGACTGCTACTCCCAGGCCCTGAACTACCCTCCAGGACCACCCAAAACAAGTCTCACTCTTTTCCCACAAACCAGCTCTCTCTCTGCTCCTCCCTAGCGTTCCCCATTCCTAAATGGTGCCAAACTCCTTCACTTCCACAGTTGTCCCCCCTCAGACCCCCGGGGTTGGGATGCATGTGTCCCTTTTCAAAGGTGGCACCCAGCTCAGACCTTGAGACCTGGCTGTTTTACACACGGAAAGTAAGCCCAGACCTGGCTGGGCACACGGGAGCAAAGCTGGCCAAACTAAGAGGTTCATTGCAATTTCATTCATCGGGTAGATATTTCTTGAGCCCTGGCTATGGACCAACACGGCTCTGTGCCCCAGGGAGATTGCAGAAAACCCTGTAACAGCAAAAAAAAAAAAAAAAAAAAAAAAAAAAAAAACCCTGGAACAACCTCAGTGCGTCTCAACAGGAGCCCCAGTTAAATAGATTATAGCCATCCAGCCCAGGGAATACTAAGAAGCTTGTCCTTCAAAAATGAGGTCATTAGGGTCTGAAAGATTATCGTTAAGCAAGAAGGAAAAAAACCAATATTAAGAACAGTTCGCATCAGAGGACAGCATCGGGAGGTTTGAGCACAGTGCCTGGTCCAGACAGGTGCGTTAAGAAACACCTGTTGAAAGAGAATGCACCCCTCTCTCCAATCCACTAATTGTGACCCCAAGCCCAGAGAGCTTGGTAGGGCTGGGGCTGCCTTTATGCTGGACTCCATGGGGCTCAGCATGCAACTTGGAAAGGAGCTGATCTCTCGAGCTTGTGGGCAGCTCGCCTGCCTATGAAATGGGTTGGGCCCTAAGGGTTTAGTCTCTCTTCTTTAGAGCCTTGGGTCCTCAAACTCCCATTTCTTATCCAACAGACCCTAGCTCATGCCAGGGGAGGCAGGACAGGATGGGGTTGCTGCGCGGATGCCATCCTGGGGCGGGGGGTGGTCACTCTGCCTGGCAACCAAAGGAAACCACCTCCCCACCGACCACCGCCACCCCAGCAACACTCTCTTGGGGACCTGTGTTCTGTGGGACAGCCCTCCCAGCGCGCATCTGACTCATCTGTCCTCCCTGGAAGGCCTGGCCCAGCCCCATGGCAACGCTTGTTCTGAAGGACCTGGCGAAGCCCCCCTCCCACGCTGGGGCCAGTCTCCAGCCCCGTCCACCTCCATCTCTTTCCTTGCTTCTCGTCTCTGGCTGCATAGCCTCTGTGGAGCTTTTTAAAATGACCGATTCTTAAGCTCCACACCTTGGCATTACATTTAATCAGTCTAGGGAGGTGCCCAGGCAATGGCATTCTTCAGAGGCTCCCAAGTGGTTCTGATGGACACACGAAGACGAGAACCACTGCCCTGGCCCCAGCAAGGCCCAGAGGGCTTCCTGCGGCCACTGGCTCATGGGCACTGCTCACCACCACCACCAACCCCCACCACTGCCACCACCTGACATCCTGAACTTCCTGTTTATTGAGTGAAAGACAAACACCAAAGCAGCCAAGGGCCACCCACTCTCTCCCACCAACTCTGAGGCCTTCTGGCTGAAATGTGTCACCTATCTCTAAGTCCCCCCACCCCCCCCCCCCCCCCCCAACGCAGGTCCCTCTGACCCAGAATCCGACATACCCCAAGAACTGCAAGGAGGCGTTGGCTCTGAGCCCCTCGGCCAGCACCTGGGCTCCTGTGGCAGTGATGTGGTTATTCCCCAGCCTGGAAGGGAAGGCAGGGAGGCTAAGAGAGCGAGGGACAGGGGGATGTGAGTGCCCAGAAAGCCAGGGGCTGGTGGGGACAACGTGTCCCAGACACAGAACATGGAGAAAAGCTTTGAGGACCTCCCTATATGACGCAGGATCCTGTCCTCTCGCTCCTGCCCGCCCAAGGGAGTGTCTGTGCTTTCCTATTCCCGTTTGGGGGAACTTAGTAATAGTTCCTGCTACTTCAATTCCCAGCTGCAAAGGGAAAGAAGTGGGGGAAACCTGTTTTGCAAAGCAGTGTGACAGGTACAGGCAGGAGGCACAATAGGCAGGTGTCCTCAGAGGTGGTTTCCCCAGGGGAGGGAGGGTGACTCACTGTCACACCTTTTCCTCCCGTGTCAGCCACAGGCTGGGGCTAGACTCTGTGTTCCCTCAGCTTTCCTGGGTCCACTGTGGCTGGTGGGAGAATTCACCTGTTCTGGAAAGAGGGCAGGCCCAGGCTGCTGGGAGAGGGAAGGGGAACCCGCTGAGCAAGGACTGGAGGGGGGAGGCTTCAGCCACATCTAAATTACTCTGAGAGTTTCAGGGAGGGCCCAGAACTCTTGCTCACAACCCCAGGCTTCCTGGAATTAATAAAACACTTTCCTCTTTCAAGAGAACTTTCAGACCTTTGAAGCCACTGTAGCTCACAGTGCCGTAGGGAAGGCAGCATCATCCCCTTCAAGAAGGAGCGTGGTAGCCTCTCATACGTCTGACCACAGGTCCTGTAACTAAGGGCCCTGCTGCTGGGCTGGGAAACCCAAGGTCACCTCTGTACCAAGGCCCGCTTCCCACAGATGGCTCCCAGCCAGTGACCGGGAGACCTGAGACCCATTGGGCAAACTCGGTGGGAGGATTGGCTGCCGCCATCTTTGCTCTCAGAACTGCACGGAAAGCCATGACACTTCCTCCCAGCCCTCTTTCCCTCCCTCTCCCCCTCACTCAGGGCCAGACCTGCCCTGTGGTCTGCTGACTCCCCCAGCCTCCCCCAGCACCCTCCCCTGCTGCTCCTCATTGGCATTTTCCCCGACAAATTTCTGGCACATCTAATCCCTCCTCAGAGGCCTGAACTACCGATGGACATACATACAGAGAACTTTCATGATGATACTCCATCTTTTAGCCACTGAGCTCACTACTTGAAATATTGACTCTATTCTGTCAGCTTTCTACATATGTTAACTCATTTCATCATCGTAACAACCTATGAGGAAGCTATCATTATTATCCACGTTTTACAGAAGGGGAAACAGAGTCACAGAGACACTGGGCAGACCCAAGGTCATGCAGCAAATGAGGATTCGAATCTCAGGGACCCTGGACCCAGACCTCGGTTGGTCTCATTCCAGAGCCCCATGCTCTCCACTCTCCTGCTATTCTAGCCCAGAACCCAGGCCTCAAGTTTGCATGTAACACCTTCCCGCTACCCCACGGCCCTCCCTGGCCTCTGGCCACAGCAGGTCTCAGGATTCTAAGTCTCCGGGAGCAGGTGGTGGTGGCAGAAGAGAGTCCTTTATACAAAAAGGCCCCTCTGGGTTTGGCCTCAGTAGCCCGGCCTAAGCCTGAACTCCACAGTTAGCAATTTTTAAATGGCAGCTCCCATCCCCACACCCAGCCCAGGCCGTAGAAAGAACGGATGAAAGCAATTCTTGGCTTTGCCTTCCTTCACGGACACATAAATCCAGGAGGCAAGGCATTCCCAGAGAAAGAGAGAGCGAGCAAAGCCAGGCCGAGCCAGTGGCCAACAGGAGAGGAGATTTCATGGTCTCAGGAGAGACTCCAGTTCAGCCGGGAGGACCAAGAGCAGCAAAAATGCAGACATCAGGGACTGGAGTACAAAGCCGGCACCCACCAAGCGCTGACAGGACCTTCTGAGAGCTTTTCGATGACTGGCTGCCACCACCGTGATGACAGGGGACTTGTGCACGGCTCTGCCCACAGCTCTGTAACCCCAGAGAGCTCATGACACTCTTCGACACAGGGAAGGAAAAGGTCCTAGAAACCCTCTTCAGCCCCGGGGGGCTGAAGGTCAAAGGTCAGGAAGCCCTCAGCAGAGCCAGTCTGGAATTTGCTTGGGAGGTCAGAGCGCTGGCAAAGCTCTGCTCCGAGGGCACACTGGCCCTGTCTGTAGCCAGGAGATCGCCAGCCCAGCAGAGGCCAAGCCAGGGCCAATACCAGACCAAGTGGGCTCAGCTGGGCAGAAGAAAGGCAGTTTCCAGGGACTAGGAAAGGCCCGTGCTCACCTTAACGCCAGGAAGTTCTGCTTGCACGAGAGGAGCCTGGCCATGGAGGGTGCACAGCCATCGGTCAGTTTGTTGTTGAAGAATCTGGAAGGTTCCAAAAAAGAGGAGCCGTGGTGACAAAGCACAGCGGTCAGTGACCACCCAAGCTCAGGGCGGCCGGTTCCCTCCGCACAGGAGCTGCCCGCACCCTCTGACCAGGGGGACACCCCTGGCGCAGCTCACAGCCACTGCCCCCATGGCATAACCTGGAGCATGGCTGGGGGCACGAGGCCCCGACCAATGTCCCCAGCCAAGCCCAACTTACGCTAACTTCTGCAGCTGCTCACAGTGCAGGGCACGCTCCACGAGCTTGCAGACGCCTCGGTCTGAAATGTTGTTATCCCGCAAGCTGAAAAAAAGACAAAAAAAAAAAAATCTGAAAAGGGAGTGGATGAGAGAAAAATCAAAGAAGCAAGAATTCGCCCCCAAAGAGATTTTCACTCAGGCCCGAGAGTGCCGGCGTCTGGCCGGTTTCTGAGAAACACCGTAGGCCCTGAGCACCCCAGAACTGGGAAAAGCCCCATCCCTGGTCAGGGTGCTGACATCAGGCCCTGGGAGGGGGACGGCGCAGCAAGCTGGGCGCCCATAGCTCCTGTTAAAGAACACTGGGACCTGGGGGGGTGGGGTGGTCACTGGCCTTGCCCGAGGCACTGTTTTCAGCTCTGTAACACAGAAATGATCTCCACAGCAGCCTCACGGAAGGAAGTTTCCGGAAGGTTCCAAGGTGGGTGGGCACTAGCCAGAGCCTCCCCCAGAAGGTGATGGTGGGTACTGGAGGGCAACACCCCCCGCCAAACTCGCCTGATCACCAGATCTTCAGAAAGCATCTCTAGAATGCAGACTCTCAGACCCCTTTCCTGGGTGGGGGGGACGGTGGGGCCCCAGGATCTGTGTATGGTAACAGCTGTGCCCATGATCCCCATCTTCAGGCAGATCCCAGAGACCCTAACTTAAAGTTTAACGACCTGGGCTCTGGGATCTCTCAGTGGAAATTCGGATCCTTAGCAGCCATTTCTATCTGGGCTATTTGCTGTTCCCTTCCTCTGTAAAAGGAAAAGGATGGCATTCCCAGCCCCACCTGGATGTGGAGGTCAGGTTTAAAGAGACAGTGCACGTAAAGTCCTGGGAGCACCCGAAACGGGTAGAAGCTTCCCTATAACCAGGACAGCTCGTGTGCATATAGCACCTGATGCGTGGGTGCTCACCTAAGCACTTCCCAAAAGTAAAGGTATTTAAACCTCAGGAAAGCTCACTGCGTAGGTACTATTATGATGTCATTCAGGGGAAGGAAATTGAGGCACAGACAAGGCGAGTGACCACGCAAAGGTCGCTCAGCGCCTAAAGCATCAGGGCTCCGAAAGTCTGGCCCCAAAGCCCACCCCTGAGCACGACATCACATGCTTCTCTCCCCCTTATGCCTTCTATGGGCTTCTAGAGCCCCAATGTTCAGGCTGCAGGTCATGACCCGTTGGTGGGTCATAAAATCAACTCTGAAGGTCTAGCAGCATTTTTATTAAAAGGGAAAAAGAACAGAAGAGGGCAGAAATGTATCTGAGTTTACACAGGAAAGCCATTTTGTGAAGTTTTTGTTTCACTTTTAGATGGCTGTGAGCCTGCTTGTACCTTCTCTTTCACGGTGGGTCACAGCCAAAAAACCGTGAAAGCCCACAGCTGGGAGTCAGAGCCAGGGTCGAAAGGAACCTAGATGGGGACACTTTGTAGACACGTTTCCTGGAGCCTGAGCGTTTCTGTTGGCATGGAAACATTTCAAGTGGGAGAGAGACAGTGTGGCTATGGGGGAGAGGAGCCCACCCACCCCCATCCACTAGCCTCTGTCTCTGTCTCTCTCTGGCACACATGTGCGCGCGCACACACACACACACACACACACACACACACACACAGGAAAGCCCCAAGCAGCAACCTCCACATCCTTTCCCCACCCACGCAGCGCTGGCAATTTCGGTACAGAGAGTAAAGAGCAGTAGAACTTGGTGAAGGTCTTTTATGGCTCATGGAAAATCAAGCTGGTTCCTACAGACCACCCTAGACCCATAGAATGAGAATCACTGGGGACAGGTCCTAGAATCTGCATTTCCAGAAGCTCCCCTGCACCTATAGGCTGAGCACTGGAACCAGACCTTCCTCACCCTCCCCTGGAAATAGAAACAGACCTTGAGCCTCCCCTCAGCCCTTTGACACATCCCAGGAGTGACGCAGGCTTTCCTTAACTGAGAAAAGAGAGGATCCACTCATTCTATGGGTGGACTGGTCTATAAGGATCAACCAGGCCAGTGGTTCCCGACCTCTTGGGGTTTGAGGACCCCTTTGAGAACGACAGGTCCACCATCCAGAAAAATGTTCATATTTTGTCAGGAAAAAGACTCCCACAGACAGGCCTCAGACTTCTTGAGTGAAAATACGGGGATTCCTCCTTCCTGGGGAAACAGAATCATCTTCATTTGCCTGGCCAGATCCACTTTCCCTCTCCACCTGGCTCTCGGTCCTGAGGAGCTGATGCCCACGGATGACAGCAGCAGCCACCCAACTCCAGGTTGGGTGATCAAGGCATGAGCAGAAAGAGGAAGAAGGGACAGGGCCCCATTCTCCCAGCTTCCTATAGTCTCTACTCCTATCAGAGAGCCTTCTCCACACCTGCCCCCCAAGCCCTTCTTCTCCAGGCCTACAGAGGGTGACAGTCCCATCCCTACCCCCACCCCACAGTCACTGGCCCCAAGACCTTGCTGTAACCCTTTAGGCTCTTCCTAATTGCTACCCAAGCCTCTGAAAACGGTCCCTTTATTAAACTTTCTGCAAATCACTGAATTTAATTGTGTTGACTATTTCTTCCTGATATATTTTTAACGTATACTATCTATACTACACATGTTCACCTACAAAATATGCTACATATTGTGTTATTATTACCTTATATTTATAAACTTATGAGCATGGACCCTATATAAGGGACAACACAGGCCACCATAGTTTCTAACAGATATGCATATGTTTGCTCCAGAGAAAAAGAAAATCTGGCTGCTTTGGCTCAGGGAAGGTATGCCATCCTAATATATTCAAAGAGAGGTTTGTCCCTTGCTTAGGGTCAAATTAACGTCATGTGGGATAGACCGAAAACCCCAGAGGCTGTGAGTCGATTTTAACGTTAAGCTACCACTTCTGCTTTCTCAGAGGTTTTAAATAGGGAGCAGGACATGCCCTTTCAAGGCAGGGAGGGAAGTGGGGGAGCCTGCAGACTCCTGGCTGCCAGACCTGGGCATGCCCTCTGCGTGCACCTGGCCCAAGACGTGGACAGAGGCCCCCTGGGGGCTGGAATAGACATTCTGAAGGGGGAACCTCCCACCTCCAGACGGGGGTCCAGAAGCAGTACAGATGATGGCATCATCTCACGGGGGTGCCATACCACATGAGGGATAAAAGGGCAGGTGCCATTCTGCAGCCCCTTCCAGCTCTTGGATCCCTAAATTCGCATCTCATTGTGATCTCAAAATCTCTCATGGGGACTCAGTCACCTCTAAATTGTGGGTGGTTCCTAATAACTCACACATAATACACAAAACTGGACGTGTCACTTCAAGGTTCTCATGGAGCCCCCAAAATCTATCCCTGGGGCAGGCTGCTTATGGGGAGTAAGGACTTGTCACCAGAAAGATGTGATCTGTTCAAACCAGCTCTGCCATCTCCGGTGTCGTGGTAGACCAAGGACTTTGGTTCTCTGGGCCTCATACAGAGGATAACGGGGAGACGGCCCAGGGTGTTCACAGAGATGAATGGAGTTAGTTGTAGGAAGTGAATAACACAGCGCCTGACAGGCAGGACACTCCATAAGCATGGGGTCATCATCACTGTGAAACTAAGGCCCAGACTGGGGAAGGTACTGGGCTGGAGTTGCTTAGAAAGGGGTGGTGGGGCCCAGACTCCCAGGGCCCAGTGCCGAGCTCCCACAATGCACCTCAGCGCTGGCACTGCCCCACACCGAGCCAGCGCCCCCGAGCAACACTCACTATAGAGCCTTGCAGACGTTGAGGCAAGGCAGCAGCTGCTCCACACCAACATCCCCTACAGAGTTGTGGTCCAGCTGCAGGGCCACGGGATGCCGGAGGTGCCGCAGCACAAATGCCAGGGCAGCACACTCCGCGGGGCCCACGCCACAAAACGTCAGCTTCAGGTGCCCGACCTTGAGCCCCCGCACGGCCTCCCAGGCCAGCCGTTCCTCCTGCATCTCGTACAGGCTCCGGATGAGCCAGATGAAGCCAGGCATGGCGTGCATGCTCTTGGCCTCCCCCGGCACGGCCGGAGGGATGGAGTGGAAGTGCTTGCAGAGGCTGCGGGACAGACAGCTGCGGGTGCAGGCCTGACGCTGGAGCAGGGCCTTCTCGGACACCTGGCTCCCAGCCAGCAGGCCCTGGTGCTCCCGGGACAGCAGCCCCGCCAGGAAGGCTGCTGTGATCTGGAGGTTGTGGGGCTCAGCCTCTTGCAGCAAAGCGGCCGTGCTGCCCTCCTGGTGCTCTGAGCGTGGCACGCACATGGGGGGCAGCAGCCGGGCCAGCAGCGAGCTGCGTGGCCCGTGACAACTGAAGAGTTGTCTGAGCAAGGACGGCGACAAGTCAGCACTAAGCACAAGGTACAAGGCTGCAAAAAAACACTGGAAGGTGATGTGCAGGAATTCCAGGGGGGCTGTGCCCCCCTGCACAACGCTCTTGGCATGCACCAGGAAGCCAAGAGAAATGTCCTCGCGGTCGATGTGTGCTGCCTGGAGCTGCTTGTCTGAGAACACATAGCAGCATGTGCCCAGGCCCCAGACAGCCAGCCGGCCCAGGTGCAGGAGGGAGGGGAGCCTGCCTTGAAGCAGGCCGGGTGCCAGACCGCAGGGCACCGAGTCTGGTGGGGAGGCATGCAGCAGAAAATGCTGCAGGATCAGCAGGTACAGATCCGTGGTGGTCTTTGGGGACCCGCCACCATGCAACAACAGTTCCTGGTGGCATTTGGACACCATCCATGAGACAACAGGAAGGTGGCACAACCCATGCAGGGGTGAGGTTGCTTTGAGCAGGCGGACAAGGCGGTCGGCCACCCCTGGCTCACGGTGGCACTTCCTCAGGTACAGCTCGATGCCCTCTTCCGAGAAGCCCTTGAGGTGGAGTTCCAAACGCAGGTACTTCCTGAGCAGTGCGGACACCGCATCCGGACGGCTGGTCAGCACCTTGCGCGCGTTCTTGAGCAAGTTGCCCTGCAGAAGGTTGAACAGCAGATTCTGGACAGAGGTGGGGTCGGTCGGAGAGCAGTGACGCTCACGATCCGAGAACCTGAACTTGAACTCGTCAAAGCCATCGAAAGTTAAGAGGACACGGTTGGGGTGGTCAAGGAGGAACTGGAAGACCTCCTGTTGGCCAAGGTCAGGCCAACAGCAGTGTTCAAAGAGCAGCGTCTGCACAGACAGCGGCTTGGCCACACACTGCAGCTGTCGGCAGCTGAATGGGAAGACGAAGAGAAATTCCTGGAAGTCGCGCCCTGAGGCCCACAACAGGTGCATCTGCTGTAGCAGCGTGCTCTTGCCGCTGCCCGCCTCGCCCACCACCAGCACAGTGTCTGCATCTTCATTGAGGTGGCCACGGGTGCCGAAGAGCTCCTCCAGGCCCAGCGTCACAGGGCTCTTCTGTGGGAGTCCGGCCAGGCCCCGCTCTGTCCGGACTTCCAGAACATTCTCTGTGTATATTTCCTCCAGGCAAAGATTCTCTGCCCCATCGTAGGTGCTCAGAAAGCGAGACTGAGCAGATATCGTGGTCCTTAGCTTGGACATATACTTCTTACATGCAGCATCTGGAAGACCGAAGAAGAGGCTGATGAGGTAGGACAGTGGGGAGGATGGGCTCTGGCAGAGCGAGGGCTGCACGAGGGCATGTGATGTTACACATGGAGAGAAGAGCAGGCATGTGCCAGCCCCGGCTTCTGCAATCGCAAGCTATGGGCTTTGACGACAGTTGCATAACCTTCCTAAGCCTGGGAATCCCCTCACCCACCCCCAGGCTTGAAGTGGGAAAATGGGGGTCCCTACCTTATAGGGTTTACATGGAGCAGTTAAGATAATTCATGTCAAGTGCTTCATTCAGCATCCAACACAGTACTCCAAAAATATTTGCTAGCGGCATTATTATTACTACTGACATCAGGAAGAGCTGTAGATTAGGGGCGCCTGGGTGGCTCAGTGGGTTAAGCCTCTGCCTTTGGCTCAGGTCACGATCTCAGGGTCCTGGGATTGAGCCCTGCATGGGGGCGGGGTGGGGGGTGTCCCTGCTCAGCAGGGGGCCTGCTTTCCCCTCACTGCCTCTCTGCCTACTTGTGATCTCTCTCTCTCTCTCTGTCAAATAAATAAATAAATACAATCTTTAAAAAAAAAAAAAGAGCTGTAGATTAGAAAGAGCATCAGGTGGGCACCTGGGTGACTCAGAGGGTAAGCCTCTGCCTTCGGCTCAGGTCATGATCTCAGGGTCCTGGGATTGAGCCCCGAATCGGGCTCTCTGCTCAGCAGGGAGCCTGCTTCCTCCTCTCTCTCTGCCCGCCTCTCTGCCTACTTGTCATTTCTGTCTGTCAAATAAATAAAATCTTAAAAAAAAAAAAAAAAGAGCATCAGGCTGGGGTCAGAGGACCTGCCTGCTGACGCCTGTCCAACCGAATTGGTTAGGATAGCCTTCGAGAAGCCTCTTCACCATTCAACCTCAGCTGCATCTTTCGAAAGAAAAACACAAGGTATAAGAGCCCGGCAGCCCAGTTTCTGAAGTCAGATATGCCTGCGTTTGAAAGCTGGCTCCCTCATTACCTTGTGCAAGCTATTCAACCTTCCCCTTCTCAGTATACTTATCTCCAAAATTAGGGACAATCCACAGGTTGAAGGATTGTTACAGGAGGAAACGAGATACAGTAGAATTGAGCAAAGTCTGACATATGGTAAACTCTTGAAAGATGGTGTTTGTTATCATGATACTGATGGGTTTGGTAGGCCTAACAGTAGTACCATGTCCCAATCCTCAGGATCTGTGAATATGTTACCTTACTTACGAAGGAGGGACTAGATAAATGTGATCAAACTAAAGAGACAGGGATTTTATCCTGGACAATCCAGGTGGACCTAGCACTGTTTGGTGTCAGGATCAGTGGGGTGCCGGGGTCAAGCACTTGGACAAGAGTCCTTGATCAAGATTCACTTCCCCATCCTCTTCACTTAACCCTCGGCAACCCTCTTACACACGGGGTGTGTCTACAAGGCTGCTGCTTTTCCTTTACCATCCTAATAACCAACATGAGCAAACTACTTTCTGTATCAGGAGTCAGTTCCCCTTTTAGGGAATGGGGAAGTGGTAGTCCAGGGCCCCCAGAGTGGGGGGACCTTTGGGCATCACGGCTTCACTGCTCCCGACCAAAGATCGGCGCCCTTATTCTCAACTCAAAAGCTAACAAGTAATTCTCCCAGAGCACACTTAGCATACTGACGCTCTGTCCCCTGTTTCTCTTCCATCCTCTGTGCCCAGAGCTGATGAGCATCATTGCTCTTAAAGCCCTTTGGATATACCAGGAGCACAGAACATAGATAACATAAAATATACACCTTCCTTTCTAATACCCTTAGATCTAACGCAGGTTCTCCAGATACCACCAATATAAAATTCTCCAGAAAAACAAGGATCTTTCATTTTAAAAATAAACACCGGTCAATTGTCAACCTCGGATTGGTCACCCTGGGGAATCTGACACCATGTCACAGAGTTACGACCCGTGATATCAACAGCGGACATTAACCAAGGCCCAACCCAGGGAACCGTGCTCTGGGCCATGCAGCCCCAGCTGGAAACTGATGTCTGTGCCCTGTTCTCAGGGAAACGGTGCATATCGAGGCGCCAAGCACCGGCTTCTAGCCATCCTTCCTGCAGGCAATGCTTGCCACCCAGAGGGTAGAGCTCAGAGTAGTAAATCTCTCCGCTAGCACCACCCACAGCTCAGAGGCCCTCACTGCCAATGACCAATCCCTATGGTGACAGGGGAACAAGACATACAAGGCTCGTGCCTGCTCTTTACAACGGACGATCTCTCTTCTCCCAAGGAAAAGGGAAGCAGCGGTGAAGACGGTTTAAAAACAGACCCATCCTCCCCACCTCAACCCACGCCTTCCTTGCCCCAGTTTTCATATCCGTAAATTGGAAAAAATGACACTGATTTCTCAAGGTTGCCATCAAGGACAGATACGATAAATAAAGCACCTTGCAAGGATGTCTGCCAGGTTCCAGCTGTGGGATCCAAGCCCCTCCCGTCCCTGGGTTGGGTTGGGTTGGTGGCTGTGTGCAAGGAGAGATACCACATTATCTAAATCTGTTGGGTCCTGCAGTTTCTGATAGTGAGCAGTAAATTGCAGAAATCAAGAGATAACAGCCCTATCTCAAAATGTACCCTTTGCAGCACAGATAATAAGAGTTTGGCTAGTGAAGCTCCAGTTATCACTGTCCAGCTCTGGAAGTAATAAAAGCTAATGCTAATATTACACATGGTAATCCTTTCAATCCTAGTGGCGGTGTTATCCTTGAAATCAGGAAACTGAGTCCTGAGGAGGCCCACAGGGCCAGGAAGTGAAATTCTAAAGGCCCGTCTCACTCCAGAGTTCTGCTCTTAATCAGGACTCTGTAAAGCCTTTCTTTCCCTTTCTGATGAACGGAGAAGAACATATAAGTATATACCTTCAAAAGGCACGGCCAACGAAACTGGCAATTTCTGAACATGACGTAGAAGGAAGGCAGCCAACCCATTCGCCTTCACTGTGGCAAGATCGAGGAGCCTCCTTGCCTATGGGGAGAGCAAAATAACATAAAAAAGTATCTTTCCAGAAAGGCGGATGGAGATGGTGTGGGAAGGTTTCTACTGATCACTAGAGTTTCATAGGTATCTCCCTTCCACCATAGTTAGAGGCCAGAAAAACCCCCAAATAGCAAGACGAGTTTAAAGAAGTCACTAGACGCTGCGTGATGAAGTAAACACTAGAGCACACACACACCCGATCTGGCTCCCACTAAAAAGGAACAACTAAAAGAAAAAAAAAGCCATAAATCTATAAACCTGCAAGGATAGGAAAAACAATTCTGGAAGTGAGAACTCATCTGGAAGACAGGTGATTGCATGGAGCCGCGAGGCTTGGCATACCACCCCTGAGCATGACACCCACATTTCCATCTCCAACCTCACCTGCTCCCCTGAACCTTGGACACGCACACCCGAAACTGCCTGCCCACCATCTCCACTTAGATGTCCCCAAAACACCTCCGACTTAACATATCCACAATCAGACTCCTTGTCTACACCCACCTGCAAACCTACAGCCTTCCTCCTCCCAAGCTAATGTCAATGCCACCCTTCCAGCTGCTCTGCCCCAGACTTCCAGAATCGCCCTGGAAGCTTCTCCCCTACAATCCGCCCAACAAATCCTGTTGGCTTGAACACGAACACATAACCAGAACAGCATAACAGAAGTAGAACGCTCGCTGCCCAAAGGGTACACACAAAGGTGAGTCGTATTTGTAATGTTGGATCTTCTAGTATCCATATTTTTTTAAAGTAAAAACCAATGTAATCCATTTCAATCATATATCTTATTTAGCCAAATATAGCCAGAATATTACCATTTCAACATGTAATCAATATAAAAAATTACTGAGATATTTTACATTCTTTCTTTCATATTAGGTCTTCGGAGCAGAATCCCCATCCTGGACCACAATTCCCAATCCCATGGCCACATTTCAAGTGCTCAATAGCCACATGTGGCCAGTGTCTACCCCAGTGGACACACAGCTAGAGAGCCCAGCCCTTTCTTGTCCCCTCCTCTATGCTACTGTCCAAGCCGCCATCAGTGCCCACCTGGAAAACGGCAAATGCTGCCCAACTGGTGTCCCTGCTTCTGTCCCTATCCCCAGAATCTATTTTCAACACCACAGGCTGAGTGTCATTCTTTAAAAGTCGGATCATACCTCTCCTGTTACAAATGTCCAAGCATGTCCCTCATTTTCTCAGAGTAAAAGCCCAAGGTCAACAGTAACCTATAAGGCTCCAAACAGACCAAAGTGCTGTCTGTGACCCTCGGGATCCTGCTTAACTTCTCTGACCTCCCCCCTTATTGCTCTTCCCCCACTCAGAATACCAGCCTCAGGGTTTCTGGAAACATCAAGCATGCTCCCACATCCAGGCCTTTGCTGGGGCTGTCCCCTCTGCCTGGAATGCTCTTTCTCCAGTTGTCCACATGACCCCTTCCTTCACCTCCTTCAAGCCTTTGCTCAAATATCACCTTCTTGAGAACTCCCCGAACACTCTATTTAAAATTGCCATCACTACCTCCATTCCCTGTAACTTTCAAGCCCCAGACCCACTCTAGTTATTTTCTACAGCACATCCATCACTTTCCAACGTGCCCTGTCATTTGCTTCCTTTTGCTTATTGTCTATCGCCCTGCACCGGGACATGAGCATCTCCAGGATGAGGATTGTTGTCTGTTTTGCTCACTGCTGTTTCCTCAACACCTAGAAGAGTGCCTGGCACAGAGCACGCATTCAAGGACTTGCCAAAGGAATGACTAGTAATGGACTTAGAAGAGCCCAGAAATCCAGATCTTAAGCCAACAGTGGGCAAGTTGAAAACCACATAACATGTATCTCAGACTCTGTAAAGATCTCTGGAATTAAGAGCATCAGGTACCTCCAGAACCAAAGGAAATGATTCAAGTAAGGAGGGTTGAGTCAACATGGTTTATAAAACAGATCTCTTGGGCACCTGGGTGGCTCAGTGGGTTAAGCCTCTGCCTTCAGCTCGGGTTATGATCTCAGGGTCCTGGGATTGAGCCCCGAATAGGGCTCCCCTGCTTTCCCCTCTCCCTCTGCCTACCTCTCTGCCTACTTGTGATCTTTCTCTGTCAAATAAACAAAATCTTTAAAAAAAAAAAAAAAAAAAACAGATCTCTTGGTCCCCTGACCCACTCCAAGCCAACTGCAACTGTCCCTGCCCTGCCATGGCAGAATATGGAGATTTATATCTGGAAAGGCTAAAACAGGGCCCCGGGACTGGGAGGCAGCAGGCACAATAAAGGAGGTGGGCATCATGCCCCCAAAAGAAGGTATAAATGACCATGTGCACAATGAGTGCTGAACGCAGAGACCTCTCTCCACCACAAGCACCAGCCAGCCCTCTTACTCACTGGGCTCCCACAACTCTGGCAGTCAGACCAGCCTAGGAGAAATGGTCTAAAGATACAAATACCATCACTTCCTAAACGTCTACAGTGAAACGCAAGGTAAACAGGTTTCACCTATAGGCTCTGAGTTTCCAGTAAGTTTTAGGGAGTCTATTTCAGTCATGAGCAGCCAACTAAGGAGCATCATATGCCCAAAGAAAGCATCTCATGTGGGAAAATAATGACCAACCCAAAATTTTATACCCAACCAAAATGTTGATCAAGTACAAGGAAACTTGTAGCTATATGCAAGCTTAAAATTTTAATTCCCAGATACTCATTTTACAGATTCTGGAAGATATCATCTCCCACAATAGAACAAACCAAGACAAAGGAAGACTAGATGACTCAGGATAGAGGAAAACCAACACAAGAGGACTAGGAAGGGAAATCTCAGGATAATGGCTCTACCATAAGTAGAAGGAGATTGGAGCAACGTGACTTAAGAGTCACACATGTTCAGGGGAATTATTTCCTAGATGTCCAGGCACACCTGGCTCTAATCCTTATCTATATTTGGCTCGTCTGCACCACAGGCTAATATCATTCTTTCTCTCAACCCCTGTGGCCTGGGTCAGCTGAGGACACCCATTTCACCCTTCTGAAGTATCTGGCTTCCCTATTCCTGGGAGCTGGAAGAGCCTTGGAGAAGCTTACAACTGAACATACAGAGCAGCCCACTTCCTCTGACTATTCCTGGACATCCGGCCTCTGACTCATCGCTGCCCTACCAGACCCTCCAGCTCTCAGGACTCACTCAATGACCTTGCCCACTGACTTCCCAGTGGGAGCCCTTAGAAAGCCTCCAAACGGTAAAGCCAAGACCAAGTCTCTGGGGCCCTGTTCAGTTTCCCTGCCCCTGGGAGCCTGCACCCAAGAAGGAGAGGCAGGACACCTCTTTCCTTGACACTGTTATGCTTGTGCTTGCTAGAACTTTTTCAAAACAAAACACATTGTTTGGAGAATTATTGCATAAGGTGTCAAAACTATGAAGAAAAGCAAAGAAATGATTTTACACGAAAGTCAGGCTATGGGTAGCAGTGGAGGAAAGTACTAGCAACATTCTATGTCTTTTTGTGGGTGATGGGAACATGTCGAAATCACACCATATGAAATTAAACACTTTCTTGCAGGCGTGTTACATTTCCCAAGTTAAAGGTGTTGCAGTTAATATCACAACAGTCAAGCTATTCAGTCTGACCCTGGCCTAGCAGCCTGAGCAGGTGCATGAGTCAGATGGACTGCTGGTTTGATAGCCTCAAGTCTGCTGACAACTCTTATACCCAACTGCGCAAGGTCATCGCACGAAGCCCCACATTTCATGTCAGAAAGAGAAGAGCATTTGCTCTGGGGACGATCAGGCCTGGATTGGAACTCTAGCTGGGCCACTTCCCAGATGGGAGGTTTGGGCAGTTCCTTTATTGTTAAGAAACAGTAGAACCAAAACGACACACCGAGAAGGTTGTAGTGTGGCTCAGAGATCACAACCTTCAAGGGCTATGGACCGTGCCTGGCACGTGGTAGGCATTCACTCAGCAAACAGCAGCATTTGGGTCTTTTAGGGATCTGGTTCTACAACTTGGATCTAGTTCTTGCAACCCTGCATCTAGTTCTTCAACTGAAGCATTTTCTCAGTCCTCAACCTGCAATCTATGACAACCGCCTCCTTCTAGAAAATTACAAGTTCAGTTTAGAAGAGTAAACAAAGCAGTCCTGGGTTGGGGGGATATGTCAGTTGGACATACCACAAATGCCAGCCACAATGAATCAGAAATTCAGCCGCAGAAGGCAACCCATCAAGTTGGAGAATCAGAGACCTCAGAAAAAGCTTAGAGAGAAGCTGCATTCCAGAAACTTAAACCTCAGGCCACCCAGTCCCTTGGGGAAGGCCTATAACCCTCAGAGGTCTTGTCCGCCACATGCTCTGCACAGTCCCAGCGACGGGTGCTTTTGCTGTCCACCCAGCCCTTTCTTAACATGGAGTTTTAGCTCATTAAAATGCAGCCTTGCTTCTTTCCTAATATTAGCATTTAAGGTTATAAATTCCCCTCTATGTTCCACTCTAGCTGTACCCCATACATTTTTATAAATCAGATTCTCATTACTATTTGGTTCTAAATTATTTTCTGATTTCCCTTATGATTTCTTCTTTGGCCCATGATTACCCTATTTCCTTTTCTCATCAATCCAAATACCTCCTCGATGCATGTCCTGTCCCCTCTAGGCTCGAGGCTACCTTCTCTAAACCCCTCAGAGCATCCACACCAGACCACACTGTTGAACACTTGATCAAAGATGACAAGACACAATCCTTGAACTTCCCAAAGGGGCTGATTCACTCTCCACAACGGATCACAAAAGACACCAGGGCAGGTGCAATGACAAACATGCTTTCTGGAATCCCCACAGGGCCAGGCTTGAGGACCTGGGGCCCAGGGTAGAACTGTAGGTTTCACGTGCACTGATGAGTAACAAGAGGGGCCCATAGCACGTGCGCTCTGTAAACATGGAGCCTCCTTGAGCCAGCTTTCAAACAGCCTTGAGGACGCGCTGGTTTATCCCATCGGTCCCAACCTAGACTCACCTAATCACCAAAGACATTTTTTTAACTGACAAATAAAAACTAGAAAATTCCCCAGTTCGGTTCATCCTCACACTGCCATTTAATTCCAATTCATTCATTCATTCATTCATTCAATAACTGAGGTGTTCCATCAATGAGTATTTATTTAGTGTCTATTTCAAGAAGCTTTAAGAGTCTGGCACATACTAAGCATCTAAACAGATTCTGGCCAACAGAGTGCCTGGGTGGCTCCATCACCTAAGTGTCTACCTAGGGCTCAGATCACAATCTCAGGGTCCGGGGATCGAGTCCCTCATCAGGTTCCCTGCTCAGCAGGGGAGCCTGCTTCTCTCTGGGCTTCTGTGCCACCCCTCCCTTGTGCTTGCTCTCTCTCAAATAAATAAATAATCTTAAAAAAATAGATTCTGGCTGAATAAATGAATGCATACATTAACAATGAACAAGGGAGTCAAGGTACCAGGTCCAACAGGGGACTTCCCTGCCATCAAACCACTGTTCTGGGCATTAGTTCTCCAGTACATAAAAGGGGATGTCAGTGACGGTTCCATCTGTATCTCAAGAGCTCTGAGGGTCGCTCTTTAGGGTAAAATGAATAAAGAGTTTCAAAACCACCCAAAAGACACTTTTCCGGTCTCCTGGAATGGCGTTTTCAGAGGGAGTTATACCCCAGCTCTGAATGTCTATCAGCCAAAAGCAAGTTCGTATCAGAAATCCAACGTAGACAAGTGAACAGCACTGGTCCACAGTGTGCTAATTATGAACGAGTAGCAATTAAATGTTAAATTATCTATTAAATATAATGTAATAATTAATTAAGAAATACAACTTAATGAATTCTGATGTTGAGCTGTAATTTAAGACCGTCAAAAAGCGTACAGAGTATCGTCATAACACAACTAATGGCGGCCAATGGGACTGATAACGACTGGTTCCTATGCGCTACACACTGCCAAAAGGGTTACACGAATCAAGTCACTGACTTCTCCTGAGAAACTTACTGACGTTTCACAGATGAGAAGAGACGGGAGATTAAGGAGAAAGAGTTTCCTCTGTGTCCTGAAGACACAGAGAACGGGTCCCAAACAACTTTTACCTGCCTGGCGACCTTGTTAGGGGGAAGGCCAGCCCCCGTGTCTCCCCACGGGGCTGACTCCCCAAAGACAAATCCGTCCTGGTGACTAAGCACCCTTTTCCCGTGAATTCTGATTACCCAAGACCCAAGTGCCTTACCCGCTGGGAGGACGTGAAGATGGGCAACCGGATTTCATCACATTCGTACTGGCTGATGAAACCGTGCTCCCAGGCTAGATCCAGCACGCCCTCCACGTGGCTGTGGAGCCTCCTGACGATGGCTGGCCGGTGACTCTGCAGGTCCCGGGCTGGGTGGGGCGAGTGGGGGTCCCAGCAGCTGGACAGCTCCCGAGCCTGGTAGTCGGTCTGGGCCTCCCGGACGGCCGCGATGAGCTGTTCACAGCCCCAAGTGCCCTTGTTCCAGAGAGTGTCCAGGAGGCGCCTGGCCAAGTGTGAGAGCGGCTGGCCCAGGAGGCTGAGGCCCTCGTAGTCTTCCCAGGAGAGGACTTCCCAGGAAAGCAGCCAGTCCAGGATGCTCTCGAAGCCCTCCAGGGACCCCGAAACAAGCAGCCCCACCAGCTGGCTCCTCTGAGCCTGGAAAGCCTCCTGGGTACACATTTCATAACCTGGGGAGGAGAGTGAGGTCATTGCAGAACTCTTCTGAAGGCAGGCAGGGGGCAGTGGGGGCGGGGGTGGGGAGTGACGAGTCAGCCCCACCCCAACTCTGAAGAGGCCATGGCTCTGCTGGGACATGACCCAGTCCAGGATTCCAAACTCCCCCTTGTCCAGATGTACAGAATGAGGCCCAGACAAGGCAAAAAATGGGCTCGGGGTCCTACAGAGAGTTTGAAGCAGCCAGGAGTTCAAGCAAGGCTCCTGGTTTCCAAATCTGCACTTCATCCCTGGCTCAAGAAGGCTTGGTAAGGCTTGAGCTGATAGTCAGAGCAAGGATTCCCAAGGGATCTGGAAATTAACTCTCTTTGGGTCCCTAGGAGCCGCTCTGCCCTGCTGGCTGGATTCAGGCGGAGGGCTGTGCTATCGCCAGTAACAGCTGATATTTACTAAGCACATGCGAAGGGCTGCCAATCAGTCTAAGTGCTCCCACATGTGAATTCATTCAACCCGCCCAACCACTCTGAAGCAGGTGCTGCAATCAACCCATTTTACAGATGAAGAAACCGAGGCACCGACAGGCCAAGGGACTTGTACAAGGATTCCCAGGCAGATGAGGTGGAGCTGGGGTTTGAACCCAAGCAGTGTGATTCCAGAATCCATGCCCTTAATTCCCCCACATTTGGGATCCCCCACAGGGCCCCAAAGCCCATGCCTGCTAGGGTAACCCACCACAACCCCAGGGGGCAGACCAGAACATTGCTATAAAGATCTCAGCCCAGGTGAAGCAAAAATCCAAGTGTACACTAAGTCAGTTCAAAGTTCAGGGGAGCATGGACCCCAGTTGAAACCACCTCCTTCCCAACTATCTCCCGGCCCAGGCCCTCGCTTCCCTCCCACTCTCTCACCACCACACATTTTATGCTGTCATCTCTGCCCGTGGCTTACTCTGGGCTCAGCCTTCAGGCTCTGGGCTCTGGGAGTTTGAGGGGAAGTTTTTGATTTCTCCGAGCTCCAGGCCCCGGGAGGGTCCCCAAGCAGCAGAGAAAGTCTCTGAGGTGGGTCCATGCCGCGACTGTCACAGGGATCAGGGACATGGACGGGTGCAGTGCCCAGAGAAAGCGAAAGCAAAACGGAAAAGGAAGAGGAACACCTCCTTCTTTTTCCAAAACACGGACATTCTGAGTTACTCGAGGGAGGAGACGTCAAGGCCCTTGGAGACTTTGTCTCTCTCCTGTTTGCTGTTTATGTGTCTCTCCCCCTTCTCGGCCCGAGTAGAAGCCTGGGTCTTACTCATCCTGGCATCCCTAAGCTTGGCACAGGGCAGAGCCTCGGGGAGGTACGGTGGGAATGCTCATGAGTCAAAAATCTACCGAGGAAGGGGAGGGCCTGGAATATTCTGTGCCTGTCCTCCTATGCCAGCCAAGGAAAGGGAAAGGAGACATCTCCAACTCAGACTGTTGCCAGCACTCAGGTTGGAAGCCTTGGGCTGGCCAGAGAGGATACAAGGTAAAGCAAAGTTGCCTGCATGTCTGGAAGCTCAGGAGGGCATTCCCCATTTAGAGGCTTCTATAGGGCCATTCTCTCTGGCCAGGCAGGCCTCCGCCCTGGGCCCACGGCCAGGCAGAGAAGTCAGGAGGGCAGACATGGAGAGATGGGAGAGGGGAGAACAGGACAGGTAGGAAGACCTCTGGGCTTGGCTCTGGCATGACTCTTGGCTGTGGAAACCCCAACGCCACTGCCACTCCTGCCCAGGACCTGGGGAAAAGAACCACCACCCTCTGGGAAGAGCCCAGACATGGGGTGGGCACTCTCCCTCTAACCCCATGCCTGGAGGGCAGGCGTGCAGCCAGGAAATAAAGATGCTACAAAGTTCACATGAGACCGGACAATACCTACTCCTCTTACCTAGCCGATGCCTGAGGATGGACAGCTCCTCCCTCCTCTGTATCCAGAGAACCTAGACCACACTCTCCCCCTGCAAAGATCATTAGGCTTGATGGAGCAGGCACGGCCTTGAGCAGGAAGGCCAAGGCTGAGTGGCACAACGCTGGCAGGTCTGGATTCACCCAGACCCCACTTCCCGGGGAAATCCCAGAAGGACGGCCTGGAAGCCAGAGTTGGCCAAGCTACTGTGCAGTAACTAGGGCCTTCTCATCAGTTCTGCTGTAAAGCCTTGTGCATCCACCATGACCTGCACTGAGCCACTCCCTGGACCTGAGACACACCCTCCAGTTGTGCTCACGCCCCCCCCCCCCCGGGGACAACCTGGGAGAGTAAGCAGGAGTCCTTCCCAAACACCCCAAGTCTGGAGCAACTGACAAATGCTTGAGCCACACACATCCAACCAGTGACATCAAGGATCTGCAGACACCAGGAAGGAGAGGCAGGCCCGAGCTCTAAGGGCTGATGCTCTGTCCCCCTCAGCAGCTGGAAAGTCCCAATTCTTCCCTGGCCTCCTTCCAGAAACCTCAAAGCAGGAAGAATCCCCAAGGATGCATTTGGTCAAAACCCTGTCTCTGAGCAGGCATTGTCCTTTCTTGCTGTAAACGTCCCTGGGGGAGAACCTGGCCTTGCTGCGGTCCTCAAACAACCAGCTCAGGAAGTTCACCATCATGTCCAACTTAATTTTCTCCTGCTTTGGCTTCAATTGGGCATGAGAGAAAACAGATGACAAATCATCCCCTATTTCATAAAAATTGTCCCTAAAGTCCTGTTTCTTGCCCCTATATCACCTCTTCAGACCATTTCCCACCAACACCCAGAGCCTTCTCTTCCTCTGGCAGCTCCAATTCCAAATTCTCCAACTTCCCTTCACAGCAGGAATCCCGTCTGTTGTCTGCACTGCTGTCCTCCATTCTTTCCCACCTGTCCCCTCCAGGCACAGCCCCCCAGACTGTCCTTGTCTCAGCTGGGTTCTCAGCCCTCGACCAGCTGGCTAGGCCAAAGGCATCTATCAGAACGGCTCTCTCTCCCCTCGCAGCACGCTCTTCCCTGCCATTGGGGACACCCCATCTCTGACTTCTCCCATCCCACTGGCCACTCCGTCTGTCTGTCTCCTTGGCTGGCTCCTGCTGCTGCGAGCCCCAGAACTCCCAGGTCGGGTCTCTCTTCTCTGTACCACTCTCTCCCTAAGTGAGTTCGCCGGCTCTTACAGCTCTAAATGCCAGCCCCAAATTTTATTTCCAGCTCCAAACCCCCGATTAAACTTTCCCAGTTGCCCCTAGGCACCTGCCCGTGGACCCATAACTTGCATCTCAGACATAGTAGGCACAAGTCAGCATTCCAGCTCCTCCCCCTAAACAGCCCCCATTTCAGGAGATGGCAGCTCCAAGCTTCCAGACTCTCGGGCCAAAAACCTTCAAGTCATCCCCAACTCCACCTTTCTCTCACATCCAAATCCTCCTGACCCTACCTTCAAACTTGACCCCAAATTGGAAAATCTGATATTTTCCCATGGCCTCTATGCTGTGCATACAAGCCCCCAGGGTCTCTCCCCAGAATGGCAATGGCGGTCAGGTCACTACCCTCCCCCTCAACCTCCTGCCCTGACTCAGAGCAGGTGACTCCTCTCTTCAAAGTCCTCCAGTGGCTCTCACTGCACTCGGAGTAAAAACCCAAGTCCTCACAGTGGCCTTCAAGGCCCCAGGCAATGGACCCCCACTTCCCGACCCCTTACCTCTCCACATTCATCTCCTACTAACCTCCCTAACCCACCCCACTCCCCACTCCTCACCCATCCTGTTCCAGCCTCACAGACCTCCTCCTTGCTCCTGGAACAAGCTGGACCTGCTCCCACCAGGCATGCCTCTCTGCCTGAGGTCCTTTGCACAGACTCTGTGCTCTTCCCTCCAGAGGTGCTCTGTCCTTCCCTTCAGATGTTCACATAGCTCACCCTTCACCTCCTTCAAGGCTCTGTTCCATTGTCACCACCTCCGAGAGGCCCTCCCTGACTATGCTTTATAACCCTGCAATACCCAAGCGCAGCCCTCACCCCTGTTGTCTGCTTTGTTTTTCTCCACAGCACCTCTCACTGCCTGATAGATCATGTATATACTTATTTGATTGCTGTCCTACTCCTTTCTAGAATATGAAATCCATTAAGGCAGGGAGTTTCATCCGGACTTTTTTTTTTTTTTTTATTGCTAGAGCCCAGTGTCTCACCCAGTGTATCGATAAAGATCATTTGAATGAATAAAAAAGTGAATTGACTCTACATGGCTCCGGGGGACAGAAGTGGAAATGAGCGGTGGAAATCTGCAAGCTGTCGATTTTAGCTCAGTGTAACGAGAGCTGCAGGACGATGAACAGGCACCCCCATAAGTCATCATCACTGACCAAATGCAGCCAGAGGGGTCCTGCACCAGGTGGGAGGTGGGTGGCCTAAATAGGGGTCCCTTCCAGCCTCAGCTCCCCAACTGGCAAAGGGGATCTGAGTAACCAATGAACTTAAGGGCACAGTGATGGTGACAGGAGAGCAGAGGCAACGGGAGTGTCACTCTGATCTTCACCAAGGGGACAGGTGACATGGCAGACAAGAACAGTCCATGCGGAGACCAAGGCCACACGAAGAAGAAGCCTACAGGGTCAGAAAGAGGGAGACAACCAAGAACAGACACACAGCCAGGGATCCAGCTGTGGGAGGAGATTTGGGGAGGCTTTTTAGTTTCCTGGAAAGCAAACAGTAGGACAAGATGGCTGCTCCCTGACATGAGGACCAAAGGACAGGGCAGAAGGCACAGAGGATGCAAGGCTGGGCAGGCCCCGGTGTGGGCCCCTGTGGGAAGGGATGGGGATGAGCAGAGGTCTGCACACCCACCAAGGGAAGGAAGGAGGGAGGAGGCTCCCCTAAGAGTTACAAGGCCATATGGGCAGGGTTAGGGACCATCCAGGCAGTGCTACCTATACCCACCCATTCACAGGCATGATGAAGATGGGGAAACTGCGGCCCAAAAAGAGGAGTCTCAACTGAGAGTTGAGGAGGCTTCCTCTAAGAACTGAAATCTCATTCCCAGGCCAGCCCTGTGCCTCGGAACTTCTCCTTCTCAGGCTCCCCCTCCAAACCCGTCAGGATCGCAGCACACAGCCTCTCTCCAGACCTCAAAGTTTCAGGGGGCCCGGAAGTCCTGCTCACACCCCCAAGCCTCCTCATCCTCTGTAGCCGCTGTCCGCCAGGGGGCTCCGCTACCTCGAGACTCCCCCTTTTCCCTCGACCTTCCATTTAGACCCCAGGACTCCCGAAGGGAAAACCAGGGTATCCCCTCCCCCAAGCCCGACGCCTGGGACAGCTCAAAAGCCAAGTGTCCGAGTCCCGGGCGCAGCTCCCTGCGCTCCGGTGCAGGGTAGAGGGGCACTCACCGCACAATCACCTGCGCCCCAATTCCGCCTTGCGGTCTGGGCACAACCCTCAAGGCTCGGACTTCCACTCCGGCTCCTCTCAGGCCCCGCCCCTTCTGTCCCGGCGGCCCGCCCCCGCGCTCTGCCCACCCACCCCGCCCGGCGGGCCACACCCCTCCGGTCCGGACACCCCGCCCCCCACGCCCTAGCCCCCGGGTTCAGGCGCCCCTCCCCCGCGCTGTACCCACCCACCCCGCCCTACGGGCACAACCCCGGCCTGGGCGCCCCGCCCCGCAATGGGCCCACCCATCCTGCCGGGTGGGCCACACCCCCCCTTAGACCCCGGCCGGGGGGCCCAGCCCCGCGCCCAACCCTGGGCTGCCCAGAGGCTTCCCGAGACTAGGCAGGAGGGCGGAACAGGAACAGGCCTGGGCAGCTCGTCAATGGGACCCCGGGCCAACTGTGTCCCACTTAGTGAGCCACATTTGTATTAGAGGGAACCAGAGACCCGCTCCGGAAACACGCCCCATACATCCTGTGGAAGGAAAACCTAGGAAAGCTGTGGGAGCCAGAGTTAACCGCCGCACCCTTTGACAACCAGGAAGCCCATAGTCATCTAAAGCCTTAAATACTGAGAAGTCCCAGAACAGTGTTCTCAAAAGTGTGATGGGTTTACGTGTCAGGTGAGAATAGAGCGAGCATTTAAAGCTCTGCAAGCCTTGTGATTCAGCTGGAGCAAGCCCTCGGTGTTTGGAACTAATGGGGCTTGAGCCTCTGTCTACCACTGCCCGGTCCACTCGGCTCTGTTAGGATGTCTAACTAGAATTTAACAGCGCTGTTTTGTTTCCATTAAATTACATTTATTTCATTTTATGGTTTCCAGTTCTTCCGAGCAAGTGACACTGGTTTTCCGTTGAAGGTATTAAAACGTTCCTTTTAAAACGCTCATATTTGGAAATTTTCTCATGTAAACCAAAATATCTGACATTTTTACATGATGCTTATTATGCGCCAGGCTTTACCTATATTAACCCAATCAATCTCAGCTACGGGATACTGGCTATCATTATTTAAAATTTATAGATGAAGAAACTGAGGCACAGAAACGTTAATTAACCCATGGGTAGTGACTGCAGAGCTAAGGTTTGCTCCCAGGCGTCTGGCACCAAGGTTCTGGCTCTGATCACCACCCCACATTGCCTCTAGGTATATACCTGCACAGGCGCGCGCAGTGGCCTGGGGTGGGGGGTGGCTGCTGAGTTAGAAGGACTGCCTCTACCCCAGGGAAATCATTCCGATGGTCCACAGATCTATCTACACGATGTTGACCACCCTCTTATCTGTAACGGTGAAATTACTGAAGAACGCCGACAGAGCGACTGAAATGATTCATCTTCTCTCCTATCCCATGGCCAGCCTGGGAGCACATTTTTCAGCTTGACCTTCAGAACAGACTCAGAATGCAGCCACTTCTTACTGTATCCACCACAACCACCTGGGTTCAAATCACCGTCGTCTCTCCCCTGGGTTATGACAAGAGCTCCCAGCCATTGTCCGTGATTCCAGCTACAGTCTTCAACACAGCAGCTGCTGGGAGTCGGTCTAAAAAAAGAGAGAGAGAGTGTGTGTGCGAGAGTGAAATTATATCACTCCTCTGCTGAAACCCTTCCAATGAGTCCCATCTCAGAGGATAAGCCAGTGGAGGTCCTTGAAATTGCTGTTTGCCCCCAGTTCCCTCTCTGAACTACCTCCTCATTCATTCTGCTCCAGCCACACTGGTCTCCTGGCTGTTCCCAGAACATGCCAGGCCTGCTGCCACCACTGGGCCTTTGCATTTGCCATTCCTTCTGCCTGGGATGTTTTTCCTCTAGAAATCTACATGGCTCCCTCCTTCATCTCTTTCAGGCCTTTACTTAAAAGTGTGACTTTCTCAGGGAGGCCTTCCCTGACAATTCTAAGTACAACGGCAACCCCTCCCCCTGCACACCTTTCCTTGCTTTATTTTGTATTTTTCTCCAGCGCACCTCTCTGTATACAACACCTTGTGTATATTTCCTGTTTCACTGTCTTTGATGTTAGTCTGTAACAGAAACCTTTCTGTCTTGGTCCCTGTCTTATCTCAAGGCTTAGAACAAGAACTGGCATGCGATAAAAATTTAAGTGAATGTACCAACAATGATGATCTAGTCTAATAACCAAGGAAAGTGGATGAAACTGGAGCCCCCAAGAGTCACAGAGTCAATAAACATCATGTTGGGTGAAAGAATCCAGATGCAAAAGCATCATACTCTCTGATAACATTTATATAAAGTTCAAAAGCAGGAAAAACTAAGGTAGGGTGAGGGGAGCCAGGATAGAGGTTACAACAGGGGAAGAGGTTAGAGGTTGTGACCAGCAGTGGGGACAAAGGGGATTTCTGGGGTGCCAATAATGTTCTTCTTTTTTTTTTTTTTTTTTTTTTTGTATCTGAGTGGTGGTTACATGGGTGTGAATTCCTTGTGAAAACTGATCAAGCTAGACGTTTACGATATTTGCATTTTCCTTTACGCTCGTTGTATTTCAATAGAAATTTATTTTTAAAAGATGCTACAGAGGTATGCTTTTTAGCAGAGTGAGACACCATGGTATATGGCTAAATTTAAAAAGTTAGCTGCTTTTCAACAGAACACCAAGACGAGCGAAGGAGGGAAAGTAGTCTTTTCATCCAATGGTGCTGGGAAAATTGCACCATTTGCCACAAGCGCATGCACAAGAATGAAATTGGTCCCCTACCTCATATCTACAAAAATGAATTCAAAATGGGTCAAAGACCTACATGTAAGAGCTAAAATAAAAAACTCTTAGAAGTAAATATAGGTGTGAATCTTCGTGACCTGTTATGTCTCAGAAAACCCATAGCAAGCCCCCCCGCCCAGTCTGTGGCCCCAGTTTTAAAATCCCACAGTATTGGGGCACCTGCCTGGCTCAGTCAGAGGAGCACTGACTCTTGATCTCCTGGTCATGAGTTCGAGCCCCACATTCAGTGCAGAGATTACTAAAAAAATAAATAAATAAATAAATAAGCCCCTTTGAAGGTTTTTTTTTTTTTTCTGAAAAATAATTTTTATAATAATATTGGGTTTAGGTATACAACATGATGACTCAGTGTTTGCAAATTTTATGAAATGATCACCCCAGTAAGTCTAGTCATAGAACATAGCCAAAGAATTGTTTCTTGTGATGAGTTACTCTCTTAACAACATCCCAATAAATGATAGCGTATACAGTATATATAGTATTAACTGTACTTTATAGCTTCATGATTTATTTATTTTATAACTGGAAGTTTGTACTTTTTGACCCCCTTCACTGATTTCACACCCCCCACACCAATCCATTCTCTATATCTATGAGCTTTTGTTTCCTTGTTAATTTCCACACGTAAGACATTGCCAAGTGTTTGCCTGATCTATTCCACGTAGTATGTGGAAGGTCGACCCATGCTGTTGCAAATAGCAAGAATTCATTCTTTATTGTGGATGAATAATATTGCATTATATCTTGGTACTACATTTTTTTTACCCATTCATCCGTCCACGGACACTTGGGTTGTTTCCTGTTATAAATAATGCTGCAGTGAACATGGAGATGCCAGTGTTTTTTCAAATTAGTGCTTTGTCTTTGGTTAAATACCCAGAAGTGGAATTACTGGATCATACGGTAGCAGAAATTCTGAGAAGTTTTGTTTTTTGTTTTGTTTTTTCTTTTTTTAATTTATTTGGAGAAAGAGCACGTGTGAACAGGGGAGGGGCAGAGGAGAAGGAGAGAGAGAATTTCAAGCAGATTCCAAGCTAAGCACAGAGCCCGACACAGGGCTCAATCTCAGGACCCTGAGATCACGACCTGAGTTGGAATGAAGAGTTGGATGGCTCAACCAAATGAGCCACGCAGGTGCCCCGGAACCTTTGAGAGTTTTGAAAGGTTTCTGTGTGTCCACCCAGCTACAGGAAAACAAGATAGACATCACCCGATTTTGCATCACCTATGAACACCTCACCAGTTCGGGTTTTCTTTGCCACACTTGTGGGGACACACCTTTATCAAAGGGGGCATGTCAGTGTTGGAGTGTCAAGCTCATCAGACACCTGGAGCCGTGGTGAGGGGTAGTGCTCACCCTTCAGTTACTTGCCCAGTGGTGCTAGGAGTGGTGCAGGTTGCAATTAAGGAAAGCAGATTCAGAGAGGGGTGGTGGCCTGCCGAGGTCACATGTGAGTCATGGGTCCAATCACCCCTTCTCTGCAGGCACCCAGTCGCCCGTGTCTCGCACTACTGCCGAACGCCCACTATGTGGCAGGCACTGGGGAAGGCACTGGGGACACAATGTTGACGCAGGCAAAGTCCCCGTCATCATGGCATTTAAGACTGGCAAAGAAGCAAAATAATGGTAGGTCTTAACAGAGGGGTCAGGGAGGGTCACGCTAAGGAGGGACAACCGAGCCATAGAATGAGAAAGAACCAGTTGTGGAAAGAACCAAGAGAGGGCTGCTGCTGGCTGAAGGGACCGCGAGGACAGGGCACCAGGCAGGCTGAGGCCAAGAGAGCAGCCCGGGCAGGCTGGCGTGTGGCAATGCTGGGCGTGGCACAGGGCGAGGTCAGGAAGTGAGCAAGTGGCAGGTCAGGAGGCCTCCAGAGGGAGTCTGGACTTAACTCTGCCTGTGGGAGGAAGTCACTGAAAAGGTCCAAGTTGTCTGAATTCTGGAAGAGACACCCAGACTCTGAGATGCCAGCATTTTCCTGTGGTGCCCTTTCCTCAGGCTTTGGTGTCAGCCCGACAGTGGGGGGACACCCTGTCTTTGCCCCCATGTTAACAGAGCCTCGCCTGCCCTTCTCTACCGCACACAGCTCTGTGTGGCCCAGGGGAGCCAACAGCCAGCCGGGGGCCAACCGTGGCCACCCTGGGCCCGCTCAGTCCTTCCCACACCAGCCAGACACCCCTGCGTGTTCGGGGGTTTCCGGAGAACACCTCCTGCGCCCAGAAGAGGAAGCAGCAGCTTCCACACACCCCTCCCCCACATCGGCTGGCCGCTGAGAGGCTCGAAGACTCCAGGCCCAGGTAGATGGGAGAAGGATACAGAGCCGGCATCCCCCCAGCCATACCTGGCCCTCTTTGGGGTGGTGGGGGGCAGAGGTGAGTGAGGTACAGCCCCTCACTGGCCCACCAGCCAGAGGCACGCAGTTCAGGCTACTGCCCTCGAGCGCCCCACACCCTGACATACATGGATACCCTTTCCATGGTGACAGCACTGCCCAGCCGCGGGACCTGGTGGCCATTTCAATAAACAAGGCCGGTAAACATGGAGGGAAAGCACAGGGACTCCTACCTCACGCCATACATGAACAACTACTCTACGGGCATTAGAGAACCCCAAATGAGAAAGGCACACTGGAAAGGTGTTGAGAGCATCAGAAGGGGCCAACATCTTCTTCCGTGGTTGCTAAGAACCAGAAGTGTTTGAAGTGCCTTCTGCGTCCCAACTCTGCTTAAACCTCCCAGTGGCTTGCCAAGGTGTTGCAGAATCAAAGAGAAAGAACAATGGAAGAGAAATCTCTCCACGGTTTTAAGGTACCACATGCCCTGTGAAAGCCAAGACTGATAAGGTTGAATACTTTCAAGGTGGCAACTTGCGTTCATCCAAAGACCATATTTAGAGAGTTAGAGAGTACAGGGCAAGCCACAGGATGAGACAGAATACTGAAAACCACGTAGATCCAAAGGAACGCATGAAAAACACCTACAAACCATGAAGAAAAGAAGCCGTGAGCAACGTGGGCGGACTCAGTCCCGGAAGCATCCGTCTCTTGATTTCAGCTCAGGTCATGGTCTCAGGGTCGCGAGATCGAGTCTCCAGTCGGGCTCTGCACTGAGCATGGAGTCCGCTGCTGGAGAGTCTCTCTCTCTCTCTCTCCCTCTGCCCCAGCCCCCTAAATTAATTCATTAATTCTCTCTTCTTTTAAAATGAGCAATGGAACAGAGGATAGAAGGATAGAAACTAAGCCCACGAAAAGATGCTCCATGTCACTCCTCATTAGAGAAAGGCAACTTAAAATCATAATGAGACACCACTACACGACCACTAGAAGGACTATAATAAAAAAAAATACTGACTGCATCCAGTGTAGGGGGGCGTCGCAGAGCACCTAAAAGTCACAGGCGCTGGGGTGGTGCCTGGGAACACCAAGACCACAGCCACGGGGAGCGGGTGGCGGCGGGTGGGGGGCGCGCGGCGTTTGCCGTAATCCAGCAGAGTCCAAAGCTATTTAGCGGTTCATAATCTAAGACCCAGGGATTTCACCTTCAGAAGCATGGGCGCTTGGATAAACATGGAAGATTATCCCCAGCAGCATTGATCACAGTGGCCCAAACCAGAAACAACCCAAGTGTGTATTCACAGACCAAAAAAAAAAAAAAAAAAAAAAAAAAAAGGTGAAATAATGATGTATTCAAATAATGTAGCAACACAACAACAAAAATGAAAAAACTCCAGCCACGCACACACACACAAGTGGATGCGTCTTATGCACAGAAACGTTGAATGAAGGAAACAAGACACCAAAGCTACAAACTCTATGCATGGCTCAATTTATATAAAATTCCAAGGTAGGTACAATTAAGCTCTATTGTTTCAGGGTCTGTTCATAGGTTATCATTTACAAAGAAAAGCAAAGAAGGGACCCCAGTTAGAATTCTGAGTGGGACTGCCTCTAATGGGGAAGGAGGGGATCCTAGCTCAGAAGAGATACATGGTGGCCTTCTTGGCAAGGCTCGTTTTTTTGTTTTGTTTTGTTTTGTCCCAGTCTCCTACCCTCAAGGTCACAAATACTCGTGGCTGTGAATCATATCACAGCCCAGAGCTCGGACTTCCCCAGTACTTTCTGTTGGGAGAGTTGAATGCAGTTTTGCCCAGAGAAAGGCACCAAGTGGAACTGTGAGTTTACCCCAATTCCCTTCCCTACCAGGCACTGGCTCTGATCCCTGCAGCTCTGTGATCCAAACCTCTGTTTCTGCACTTGTCCGTGGAGCATGAAGACCCCCATCAGGCGTAGCTCACAGGGGAGGATAATGAATATTAAAGCGGGATAGGGGATGCTGCTGGAATGCCAGAGACTATCTGCGACTCTGAGGGACAGTCAAGCTCATTGCAAGGCTGTGTGAGGCCCATCTAGATCCCTCAGAACTGGATCCCTCGGGGCTGGCCCTGCCTTGCCCCGTCCTGCCCCACCCCTGCCCTGTGAGGCCACCTGTCAGTGGGGTTCATATACTGTCTGTCATCAGCCAATGGGCTGGGGCACCAAGAGCGGGTCACATAGCCTATTTCCTGTTTTCAAACGGGGAACTTAAAAGTAGCAGCTCGCTGGAGCCTGGAACCGAGGGGGGCTGAAGGCGGCCATGTGACACTCCCCCCGGACCCCTGGACCCACACAGGACCAGAGAGGCTTCAGGTCAGTGTTTGATCCCAACCTCAGTGGGGCTCTGCCCTCCCTGTGGTCTGAGCCCCCTCCCCCTGCGGCCCTCCTTCAGTACCTGTTGGGGGCAGGGCGGGGTAGGGAAGGGGTGGTGACAGCCGCTCTGTGTGGGGCTCTCCTTAGCTCATTGGGTTAGAGCAGGAAGCAGTTCCCCGAACTTCCATCACCTCGATTCTTTTGAGCTACTTCTATGACCCCTCTTGAGGCAGGGGAATAAGTCACCACACCTGCGTTTCTCAAAAAGTGGTGCCAGGGAACCCCTGTGTCAGCATAGCCTCTGGGCACTTGTGCAAAATGCAGAATCCAGGGCCCATTCCCAGACCTGCCGGGTGGGACTCTCCTATGTCAAGAGCCAGGAAACCTGCTTGTTACAAGCTCCCAGCACCTGGGAGAGTTCCAAATGTGAGTGTGCCCCCCAGTGTCTGGGATCCCTCACTCTGATGGAAAGTCCTCTGCAGCCCCCTCAGGAAGGTAGCATGGGCTCTCAAGGTGGCCTGGTTTAGACATCAGAAGAAGGCCTGGCCATGGCAGGCAGCCCTCAGAGGGAGGAGAGGCCTGGGAGGGAAGGAGCAGAATGTCTACACACACAGCTGGATGGGGAGGGGGCTGGGAAGCTTCTCTGTCTCCTGGGCCAAGCACAGGACCCCTACCCAACTCCAACATTTGTAGGATTTTCTAGTCAAATCTAGAAATCTAGAAATCTTTGCTATATAGGGTATGGACAGAGGAGAGAAGTACCCACAAAACCCCATGTGTGGTTGTCCCCAAAGAGCTTTTGGAGTGACAGGCTGTTTTCCCCATTTCACAGATGAGGAGACTGAGGCCTAGAGAGGAAGGGGAAGATGACCAAGACTCTGTGCATGCACCAATGAATGAATACCTTTCTCCTTTTCATTCCCCTCATGGTGACTCCCAGACAACCCTATAAGAGAAAACACAAGGGAAGTGGCTTTGACTGCTGAATTTGATTTTTATTCAAAGCCCTGGGTTCGTGCTCAGCTTTTCCAGGTCTTGACTGGTGCGTTCAGCCAAGGCCATGATTCCTGGGGTCTCACAGGGTCTCTGGGAAAACTGTGCCCTTCTTCTGACCTGGCACCAGCTGCCTAAACAGGACAGCAGAGCTGGAAGGGCTGGGACAACTGAGGCTCACCATCACCCATTCTACAGATGAGCCAACTGAGGAGTTAGGAGTGCCCACAGGAAGCATTGGGTTTCCAAGAACCTAAGCCACCCAGAGTCCATTAGGTAATAGAGCATGAAGACCACTCACTACCCCGCCTGGACACCCATCAGGCTCTAGAGAACGCGTCCCCACCCTCCATGTCTAGTCGGCAAGACGGAGCCTGCAGCCACACTTCTCAGGTGGGGACACTGAGGCCTGGAGATACTAAGTAACTTGCATACAGACCCACAGCTGGTCAGGATGAAAGTCCTGACCCCTTAAGGGGAGAAGCAGCAAATGAGGCATGCAGGCCCTAGTGGCTCAAGTGTGTGCAGCCCTGGGCCAGCCATGCCCTTGCTCTGTGCCTCAGTTTCCCATCCATATAAAGTAATTTGGAGGAAGGGTCCTGGAGAGACATGCACTGGGCAACAGCACAGAACCACCTGGAGAGTGGCCCAGAGTTCCTTTCACCTGAGCAAGCAAGAGCTGTCCCCGAAGGAGGAACCCTGGCCCCAGCTGACCTCAGCTCTCCCCAAGCCAGGCCTGTCCAGGGGGCCCCGCAGCCATGGAGCTGGGATGGGCTTAGTCATGCCCAGGGACAGAGCTGGGACTCCATTACAGCAGCAGGAGTCCCACCCCTCAAGGCTATAGTCAGCAGAAGGGTTGAGACATGCGTCGGATTCAGACACAGAGCCAGGAATAGGGCAGAGCAGGCCAACCAGAGTTTGTGTCCCAGCTCTGCCTCATGTGCTCCTTAGAGCTCCCTCAAATCTCACCCTTCTGATTTTGGATTTTTTTTTAAGACTTTATTTATTTGACACAGAGGGAGAGCGAGCACAAGCAGGGGTAGTGGCAGGCAGAAGGAAAGGGAGAAGCAGGCTCCCCACCGAGCAGGGAGCCCAATGTGGGACTCGATCCCAGGACCCTGGGATCATGACCTGAGCTGAAGGCAGACACTTAACTGGCTGAGCCACCCAGGTGCCCTGATTTTGGATTTTTCTGCCAAAGGGCTGCCCCAGCTCCTGACTCCATCCAAGCTAATCTTTTCATCATCCTATTTCTAATTTGTCTCAGACGTGTTAAATTCTATTCCAATTTATACCTTAGTGGAGAGTCACTGATCTTCAAATATTTCTGCAAGGACTATTATGTGTCCCATATCAATAGCAGGGACTACTTATTATACAGCGTCTAGTTTGTGCGGAGCCCAAGCTTGGTCTCCCCCAGCTTAACCCTCACGCCAGCCTCATGAAGGTAGGCTCCATTCTTAGACCCATTTTATGGGAAACTGAAGCACAGAGAATTGCTGGCACCCGGTCCTCTCCGTTCACGGGTCTGGGTTGCAGACAGAGTTACAGCATAATCTAGCTCCCTCCCCCCACTCTGGCTGGCTACCCTCCCCCTGGCCCCGAGGAGGGTACCACATACATCCTGAGCATCACCTACGAGCCTTCAGATCGTAGGCAGCTCCAAGTCCTGGTTCCTTTATCATAAGATGGAGGTAAAACTCTTCCTGCACACAGACTTGGTTAATTGAGTGAGTGGGTGATGAAGGCAGAGCGTGTGCACTGACACGTCACAGACTTTCAGCTTTGCTCGTGGGTCGGGCTCATCAGCCACATCACCTTGGGCTAAACCTCAGTTTCCTCTTCTGTGATTGGGATTCACAGAAGATTTTTGTGGGTGTGAACTAAGGGGGTGTGAAGCACTTAGGTGCCTACGAAGTGTGTTCCACAAACTGTCAGTAAGTGTCTTCTTAAAGAGGGAGAGAGAGAAGGGAAGGATATGTCCCTGGACCCTCACTTGGGGCACTGAGATTTTATTTACACATGGGACATAAATGGGATATTGGGATGTTCTTCAGGATAGGCTGGCATCTTTCTCCCAAGTAATCCCTAAAGCCACTACCTTGGCTTGAAATCACCGCACTTAAGATTCAGAGAACTCGATCATAGAAGCATGGTAACAATAACAGAAGGCCTTGGACAAATCAGTCCAGCAAAGGGGCAGTAGACCCAAGCCTCGCATGTGGCAGCTGGGCGGACAGTTAGGTGGGAAGGGGAGGGCTCAGTCATGGGGACTATGACACAGATCCTAGCACCCCAGGACCCTCCAGGAACCCCAACGTCAGCGGGAACTCACTGTTGTCTTTTGTCCCCCTGGCAGCCTTGGAGCATGGCCAGTCCCGAGCACCCCGGGAGCCCTGGATGGACAGGACCCACAGCCAAGTGCACAGCAGGGACCAGGCAGGAAGCATCAGCCACTGGCCGAGACCTCCCGTGTCCAGGACCCGAAGGGCACTTAGGTGGGCTTGGAGTGTGGTCAGAGATAGAGATTGGAAGACACTCAAAATATAAACATTGGGTCCTTCAACGGGGGCCACGGGAGAGAGAGCAGCTTTCTCAACTTGGCACAAGTATTTGATGTCCGTTGTTCTTCTGGGAGATGGTCCCAGGAATCATAGCAGGGAGGGGTACATTGAGGAAAGGAGCGAAGAAAGAAAGGGCAGGAAGCCAGTATCAAGGGTCGACGACTGCTTTGGACAACTGGGCTCGGTCCCAGCAAGGGTCCTCCGCAAACCCTATAGAACATATCTCAGACTTGTCCCATTCAGAAGGCAAGGAGGCCAGGCTACTACTCACCAGCCCTCCAGTCCCATCCTTCATCCGCCAAGAGCAGCTCCAGAACAGCGTGATTTAGCTCAAGAAAGACCCAGCATGAGAGCCCTAGGTGCGTTCAGTAGGAAGCCAGTGGGGACATTTCTGAGCAGAGAGTGCCCGGCGCTGACAGTGTCCACCAGAGCGCCATCTCCTGGAGCAAATATATTTACTCATTCAGGCAGTTGTTCAATACTTCCCTATGAAACGTCTGCTCTGTCCTTAGCCCCGCGGGGGTGGGGTGGGGGAACCAGCCCAACACTGCTGCCCCTCAAGTTTGGTGGGGAAACAGATCTGTGAAAAATAATTCAAGATGTCACCCAAAAGGTTGTAGGGACAAGGTGGGAGGCTCTAACTCTAATGCCATGGGACAGTAGAAGTGACCTATGGCCTGGATCTGGAAGGACACCAGTGGAGAAGCCCCAGCCCCCCACCCCCCACCAAAGTCTCCATATCTCTTGAAATCACATGCACAATGATCAGTGCATTTCGGTGGGGGGTAAGGATTTTCATCTTTCCCGAGATGATCACAATGGCTCAGGGTGCACGTGAGCTCTAAGAGACACTGTGAGTTTTCCAGGTAGGGAGATAGGAGGGTGGCATTTAAGGCATAAGGAGTAGCACGTGCAAGCAAAAGCAGGAAATGTGGAAAAGGAGATGAGAGAGCGGGGAGGGGCCCACCACGCGGAGCCAGGAGCCCCGCATTCTCAGTAGTTCCCTCCTCAGGTAGCTGATGCGTGTGCTCAGTCCCCAACCCCCACCGTGTCAGTGCCCTAGGGAGTACAGAAAGGAGCAAGCCACCATCCCTGCTTTTCAGGAGCATGGGTCTCACAGTGGCTGATCTGCAGGCCGGAAGTGGATGGTGCAACACACGCGTCTGCGTGTCGCAATGGAGAAACCAACTGGGGAACGCGGGGCTATTTCAGGTTGCCGGCGGTGGGATGGCTGCAGCCGGGTTTGCGGGAACCAGAGTCTGGGTGGGCGGGGACGGGGAGGAGGCGGGGCACAGCGCTTCCAGATTCGGACTTACCATCCCCGACAGACCCAGCCATGTCCCCAGACCCTTGTCCCCAAAGCACCCCGACCTGGTGCAAGGGCTGACGGGTGCCGTCCCTCCAGACGCTCCGGGCAGCCCCAGCCCCAACTCCAGCATGACCACCGGGGAACTGCAGGAGTACTGGCGGAAGGAGAAACGCTGTTGGAGGCGCGTGAAGCTGCTTTTCGAGGTCGCGTCCGCCCGCATCGAGGAGAGAAAAGTCTCCAAGTTTGTGGTAAGCTGAGACAGGGCAGGGAGGGCGAGCCTTTCATCACTTCCTTCCAGGCCCTGGGCCTCAACTTGCCCCACTGTGAAATGGGCCGGTGCAGTCTGACCAACAGAGTTCTAAGGGAGACAACGGTCAAAAAGCAAGATTGCGTGCGCGCTGGGTATGGTGTTAAGCACTGTGAGAACTGGAGAGCAGTGAGTCACGATCGCCGATCCTGAGAAGGAACTAGCCCAGATTTATTCCATGTCAGCCAGAACCAGCCATCTGTGTCCTTTCAACAGTTTTTGATATCCCCAATAATTAATTATATATTGCATAAAGTGATAGGTAATAACAATTAACCTCTTTTTCTATAAATCAGATCGCTTTCTAAAAACACGAAGTCAGTATCTTCCAAAGGGAAATCAGTATCACGTAGCACAAAGAAAAGGTAATCCTGAAAGTAAATCCAAGGAAAGCTAAGTGCTGTCATTAGATTCTAGCTGGTTGTACCAGGGCCGGCCGCAACCTCTGGGCTTGGGGGCGCCGCTCTCTGTTAAAATGGGATTTGAGCCTGCGGTGGGGGCGGTGTTCAGGTCCAAGGAGGAGCCAGGCTCAACCTTCGTTCCCCACCTGGCCCCTTAACTGGGACCAGAATGCCAACAGTGGGTGCTAAAGCGCTGACTGCAGGTTGAACCCAGTCCCCCATGGGTGCCCAGTGTTAACCCATTCCATCCTCACTCAGCGAGGGAAGTGCCATGACTACCCTCTCATTTCATGGATGGGCACACTGAGGCCCCCGGTGGTGCAATTATCCGCCTAAGATCCCACAGCTAGATCGCAGCAGGGCTGGAATTATAACCCAAGGAACCCGAGCCCTTCATCAGGATTCTCTAACTGAAAGAGACCTGAAAACCAATCATTTCCTTACCATAGAACTTCACTGCCCGCCTACGGCCCCAAACCATATCTCATGGGGAAACACAGCTCAAACCCAAGCTCCCTGAGTCAGGAACCCGAGGCTCCATTTTGACGATGGAAAGCCCGGAGCACCCCCAGCCCCCCCGCGCCACCTGCTTCCGTGCTCCTGGTCCCACGAGATGCCTCCGAGCCGCTGGGTTTGTTATTCTCAGGTGGCCTCTTGTCCCCGATCGCTTTTATAGCTCGGCGGATGCTGATAGTAATTTACAACAGAATTACATAGAACGATAACCCATTTTCGGGGTCTGCTTTAAATGATGATCATCATTATTTTTACTTGCCAGGGCTCACTCTGCCAGTGAAAAACCTCCCATTAGGATGTAGTCAAATGCGCTCTCTCTCTCTCTCTCTCTCTCTGTGTGTGTGTGTCTCTGCGACGCAGATGTACCAAATCGTCGTCATCCAGACAGGGAGTTTTGACAGCAACAAAGCCGTGCTGGAACGGCGCTATTCAGACTTTGAGATGCTCCAGAAAAACCTCCTCAAGACGTTCAGGGAAGAGATCGAAGACATCGCCTTCCCCAAGAAGCATCTGGTAGGCAACTTCACCGAGGAGATGATCTCCGAGCGCAAGCTGGCCTTCAAGGAGTACCTGACCTTGCTCTACGCCATCCGCTGCGTGCGGCGCTCCCGCGAGTTCATCGACTTCCTCACGCGGCCCGAGCTCCGGGAGGCGTTCGGCTGCCTGCGCGGGGGACAGTACGGCCGGGCCCTGGACATCCTGGTGCGCGTGGTGCCCCTGCAGGAGAAGCTGACAGCCCACTGCCCGGTGATGGTGGTGCCGGCGCTCTGCGCCATGCTCGTGTGCCACCGGGACCTGGAGCGCCCCGCCGAGGCCTTCGCGGCCGGGGAGAGGGCGCTGCAGTGCCTGCAGGCCCGGGAGGGCCACCGCTACTACGCCCCCCTGCTGGACGCCATGATCCGCCTCGCCTACGCGCTGGGCAAGGACTTCGTGTCGCTGCAGGAGAAGCTGCAGGAGAGCCAGCTCCGTCAGCCCAGCCCCTGGGGCTTCACGCTGAAGGAGCTCACGGTCCGGGAGTATCTGTACTGAGTCCCTCAGGCGGGTAGGCTGGAGACTGGGGATCGTGGCCATGGCGGGGTGGTGGGGAGGGGACACGGACTGTTGGGGGGGGAGTGTTTCGTGGGAGGAGCCACTTGAGGCTTGAACGTGCTGGGTGACACTTTGGACAAGCCCCTCCTCTGGTCCTCCATGTCTGCATCTGTGTGGACCCCAGGTGTGCTCCCCCCCACACCCCCCCGGGTCCTCAGAAGCCTCTGCCTGTGTCCTGGGTGCCTTTGATGTCAGACTCACCTCATCTGGAAACCACAAACCCAGCTGCCGAAGTGCCGGAGAGTGAGATCCAGCTTTCTGATGCTTTCGGGGGTCGCTGGAGGGGGTGGTTTGCATTGCACGCTGTGGACAAAGCTTAAGCCCCTTCCTCCAGACAGCTCTCACCAGCTGCCCTGTCTTCCCTCTCTGCTCCTCCTCCCTCGAGGTTGTCTGCCAAGATCCCCACCGTGGTCCTAACCATTCCAGCTCTTCCTTCTTAATGTGTAGACCCAACTCGGATAAACAAAAGCTCACCCACGGCTCTTCAAGGCCAGCTTTGTCCCTGGGATGGGGTGTATGTCGCCCTTTTAAGGGTGGGAGGACTCTGGGCTAGAACGTCATCCTGTCACAAGAGTCTGTGAAACAAGGCGTTGGTAGGAAGGGAATTGGTCAACAATTCTCTGGTCACGATGCTGTAACTCGGAGTCCAGGTGGCTTTTCATTTATAAGACACGTGGCCCTTGACAAGGCTCCATGAGTTACACAGACATGGCCCTGAGGGAGGGGAGTGATACCCAGCAGGGTGAGACTGAATGCTTAACTCCTCCCGCATTTGAAGGACAATGTTCTTGGAACCTCTCCGATGGGCTGGAATGCCCTTGATGGAAGTCTGCTGTGAGGAAAGGACACCAGGAGCCCAGAGTAGAGGGGAGACCAGACCCATAAGCTAGGTTCAACACTGGGCTTGAAGCCAATGGTCCAGGCTGGTTTGGGGCAATATGTATTTGAGGCTGGAGGTCCCTGAAGACCTAAACCATCTGGCTGGGATTATGAGAGTGAAATAAAGAGGCTGTTGCTCCGCATCTTCGTGTGGGGCACCAGCTTGACCCATGTAGGGATTGGGCTGGACAAAGGGACCACTCTAGTATTGAACAGGCATTGACCAAACTGCACCAGAATGGGTTCGACAGCGACACCATGTGGCAGCAGCTGGAATGGCCCTACCAGGCTCTGCTCTGGAGGTGAGAAACCAACCTGACACTTAGGGACAGAGAAAGCTTCAGGTCTCTCAGTTTATTCCGGGAGGACACTTTGAATGGGAGATGTTGGACATCTTGAGAGAGAAAGTTAAAGTGTTCTGTGGAAAAATAAAAGGCTGTGGCTCTATTTGCAATGGTGAAGATCTTCCTGACTGTAAGTCGTTTCATCAAATGTAAAACGCCATCGATCTCAGGTGCCCCACACAGTCGCTCAGAAGGAAAAAGTGCCCAAAACAGGCAGTTTAACAGATGTGTGATATGCGTGTGTAGTATATAGAGAGAAGTTTTTAAAAAGCCTCTAATATGGGGTAGAAGGAACCTACAAGGTCATAAGCTCCACCAGTCTTCTCTCCACCCAGGCTTCTTCCCATCCACGTGTCCCCAGCCAGGACCCAGGGAGCTCCAGGTGGGAGCACCATGCCAGCCTCACCCACACCCAGGAACCCCACTCTGGGCACTCGTGCCCTAAGCCTGAGGGGGCTTGTTCCCATGAAGGCCTCCTGTAGGCTGGGGTCAGGTTACTCGGTGAGCCCCTGTGTCCGGGATGTGGGTCTCTTGCCTGACCCCAAGCCGGAATGGGAGGATGGGCACTGCCACGGGCCACCTGTGCATGAAAACCCAGAGCTCCCCTGTGCTTTCAGAGCCCAGCTGTGTGTCCCAGGCTTTCCTCATCACTGCGGCGCAGCTCTGTGCAGGAAATATTCTTATCCCTTCTTACTGATGAAGACACAGACACCCTGACAGGTGAAGTAACATGCCCAAGGTCCCACGGTTCACAATGGGTAGAATAGGAAATTAAACTCGGGTCAGTGTGACACTGCCCCCCCGTGCCTTTCCCACTGAGCCCGACTTTGGAGGGGAAAGGGGAGAGGAGGTACTAAGGGTATGTTCCTTGTCCTCTCATCCTTAAGGGCCCTTCAAGATCATTTCACTTATCTCTGTTTCTAGGTGGAAACAGGCCTGGAGAAGGAACTCCCTCAAGGTCACACAGGAGACAGGGAGAGCTCCAGCACCAGGTCTTCGATGTCCACATCCAAGTGACATGATCTGGCAGGCAGGACAGACAGAATAAGGGCTGGAATTCCAAGAGGCCATTGGGGGTCACCCAGCCAGACCTGGGGGTGCTCCCGGAGTCTGGAGCCTTGGGCCAGGGCCAGCTGGCCTGGAGGCTCAGTTCGGGGTGGGCTCTGGAAGTTCCTTTGGCTATAACTCCGCCCCCGTGCAGCAAACCCAGTTGCAATCCCACCTGCTAGTGGGGGAGGGGTACTTGCTCAGAGGCTCTCCAGATGCTTCCTGTCCCTCCTGCAGCAACTCAGCCAAGCGCTTCGTTCCCAGCATCCTCCAGCTCAGCCACACGCCCCCTCCCCTTGGGGCCCCACAATGCCGCCACCTGTTCCATCATCCACTTGCCGTTTTCCTTCCAGCAGTCCCCCTTACGCTTATGGAAATTTCTTTGAAAACGAAACTTCCGATTACCACTCTAAATGGAAAATCAGAATCACTTGCTATAATTAGAAAGGTAGCTCTAAAAGTCAACACAATGAAGCCTATTGCCCTTAGTACACCTCACAGGCCTTTGTCTGCGATGGGCCTTGAACATGAGGCTGCCAGAGGTTCTTTGTTAAAAGAAACAGAGAGACAGGTGTTAAGGACCCGTCATCACCAAGCTGAGACTTGTCTTTGATTTACTCAGAAGGACTGGAAAATACCGCAAGAGGAAACAAGTTTCTGACCATGTGGACTGGATTGTTAATTGTGGTCTGTGCACTCTCCCCTCCTATCTGGGTCTTGTTCCCTGCTGCTGGGCGTGGGGCCCTGGTCCCCCAACCCCCAGCCCTGTATTCAGCCCTTCTGGCTTGCCAGCTCCTCGGTCGTGGGCCTGGTTTTGACTTTGAGTGACATCCTTGGCTGGCTTGCTTTCTGTCTTTCTTTTTTCTTTTAAGATTTTATTTATTTATTTGACGGAGAGAGAGAGAACAAGCAGGGGGAGCAGCAGAGGGAGAGGGAGAAGCAGACATCCCGCTGAGCAAGGAGTCCAATTCCGGACTCCATCTCAGGACCCTGAGATCATGACCTAAGCCTAAGGCAGATACATAAGTGACTGAGCCACCCAGGTGCCCTGACATCCTCGGCCTTCAACACCTCACTTGGGAGGCAAAACCTACACTCCAGCTCCTGGCTTCATAACTGATTTCAGGTCAGAGCCTCCCCCTCCAACTGGAAGGAAAATTCTAGTGAACTTTTATAGTATGTCCTCCGGTTGGTGTCACTGTGAGTGCCGTGAGTGCCCCTTTTATGAACAAGAAGACACTGCTCCCCCACGGAGGACTTGCACAGAGCCCTACCCTCATGGTCTGCACCCAGAATAGTCTCTTGGCCCTTATCCATCTCTCCGTGAATATTCTCATTTTCTCAGTAAACGGTGACTGACGACACTCCTATTATTTTGCTAGATTCTGCCAAGAGCTGGGGACACAGTGGTGAATGGCACAGCCCCAGGGCTGACCTCATCGAGGTTAGAAAGGAGTCATTCACTGAGCAAACAGAAGCTGAGACAGAATCTCCCTCAGCCAGGTAGTCAGGGAAGCCTTCTCAGAGGAGGAGGTGTTTAAGGGAGCCACAGGGAAGGCTAAGGAGGCGGCCACTGCAGCACGGGGAAGGGAGAATTTTAGGCAGAGGGAAAACAGAAGCACCCCCAAGGCAGGAGACCCCTCTGTCCCTGGGGACCCTTAGTGGAGGTCCGAGCCCAGAAAGGGGGCAGGCCCAGGATGCCTCTTCCCTGATGTGCCACGCAGGCAGTACCCACTGCAAGAAAGGGTTCCAAGTGTTGCCAGATATGCCTGGCAAGCCACATTGTGCCGTCATCCATCTCCAGTGACTGGCTCGTTGCAAAGTGAGCAAGCTGGGAGCCTGTGTTTAGGGAGCACAGACCCTTTTGGTTACAAGCAACAGAAACCCAGGGGAGGAATTTATTATGGGAAAAGTCTAGGAATAGACGAGCTTCAAGCCAAGTTGGATCTGAAGAATCAAACCCTGTCATCTGGTCTCTAACTTTCACTTTCTGGCTTCCTCTGTTCTGCTTCCCTGCTTTGCCTCTTTCTCTCGACAAGCTCTCCTCCTGGTGACAAGATGGCTCTAGCAACACCAGGCTCCTAGGCTCCCTCCTGGGCAACCCCAATTGCTCCCCCTCAAGGGACTTGTGAAGCTCCTCGTCTGCAGAATATATACCGAACACCCCCATGTCCTTTCCTGAGGGGCCAGGCCGGGCAGATCCTGTCCCCAAAGTGCGGCCACCACAGTTAACTTGCCCAGCCTTCAACAGAAAGAAGTCTCAACACATCGTGTTGTAAGCCGCTTTTCAAATTTTTAAAATAGACTTTGTGGTTGTTGTTGTTGTTGTTGTTTTTAGATCAGTTTTCAGTTCACAGAAAAAATTGAGTGGAGGGTATAGAGCTTTCCCTCATAGCTCCTGTCCTCACACAAGCATAGCCTCCCCCATGATCACATCCTTCACCAGCATGAAACATTTGTCACAACTGATGAACCTGCATGGACACGACATTATCACCCAGTGTCCATAGTTTCCATGAGGGCTCACTCTTGGTGTTTTGCTTACCCCCGCTGACATGTATCCACCATGATAGTATCATAACATGGACAATAAAATTAAAGTATGATTCGAGTTTGATTAAATTTTATCTATCATGAGCACTTTCCTATAATATATGACAATTTTCATATTATTTTTAATTTATTTTAACCATCTTATAATGTAATTTTCCTCATTACAGGCAACACTGCAGCAAACGCCTGGAGATCCAGTGTAGGTTTTTGCTCACTGTTGTTGTACTGAAGGTTATTGAAGGTTCTTTTTCCCCCTTTGCGTCCGGGCACTTCTGGAAGGAGGCGGGACGGAGGCCGAATCTCACCCCGCAATTTAAGAAACGGCCGGCAGATGGCGCCGCCACACAGGCGGCTCCTGGAGCTTCCGCGCAATGCTGGAGAAGAGGGGGAAAAAAAGCGGAGGGAAATTGAGCGTTTCTCCAAAAAGAAAAAAAAAAAAAAAGACTTTGAAAAACCGTTCGAAGGGGTTTGAAATGATACGAAGAAGAAAGTTTCGCTGGGAAGACGCTGACGTTTCGTTGCGTCCTTTTCTGCCACCCGTCTCCCTCCCTCGCTTCCCCACCAGTGTTGGTTGGGGGTCCCCAGGCGACCCTCACTTGGGGTTCTGGACCTCACTTCCTTTTTCTGCTCCGGGGTCCTCTTCCCGCAGCACACAGACCCCAAGGGGCGGAAGGAGGCCCCCTTGTGGTCGCTCCTCCCACCTCCAGGGGCTCTCAGAAGGAAGTGAACGAAACCGCAACTGCTAACAAAATAAGGTCCCTAAAAATATAGGGTGGCCTGCCCTTGCGGTGGGACATTTAACCTGCTGGCTCCTGGGGGCGGGGCTGGAGTAAACTTCCGTCTGTACAGCGGCAGGGCCCTTTCTCAGGTATGGGGGAGGCACCCTCAGAAGCCCCACTACAAGGCTTCCCAGGAGGAAGGGTTAGGGTGCAACCTCCGACCTTCTTCGGCCGGGGCTGGTGCTGAGGGGTTCTCATGCATCTGCCTACTGAATCGGGGGAGAATAATCACACACTTTGACTTCTTTTCACCATGAATTAACCTACCCAGGCCACCTCCAGAGGCTGTTGGTAACCAGTGGCTTAGATGGATAGGGGAATGGAAGGAGGGAAGAGAGAGAGAGAGAGTGGGAGGAGAAAGAAAAAAATCCACCTTGCTTGTTTGAGTGGCAATGGGTACAAGCACTAGGAAAACCATCTGCTGAAGCTGAGCATAAACTCTTACAGGAGGACCCATCCTGTGCCCTCGTAGGAGCATGTCCTACAGATAGAGAGGCAAGCATGTTCACCAGAAGACACGAAATAGAATTTCTGAGCAGGACTACTCCCCAGGGTAATCCCCCATCTAGAAACAACCCAAATGTCCATCAACAGTGAGACCATTCCGTAGATAGGGGGTATTGACATTCATATTTGTAAGTTGGAATATTATATAGCGATGAAAACACAATACAACATCTACACATCTACAGTCGAAGTTCACAAGCAAGGCCAAGTGTGAGCCGTTGGACACGAGAGAATAAAGCCTGTGGGACGCCACTGAATGAAGTTCAAGAAGAAGAGACAGAAAATGATGGTTGTTTAAGGATGCTTCCTTAGATGGCCAAACCCCTAAAGGAAAGAAAAAAGCAGAAGGGGTTAATGTGAAAGTCGAGATAGCGGTTATTACTTCCGGAGAAGGGGCGATATGGGGGGAACACTGCAGATCTCAGCCTGTGGGGAGTGTTCTGTTCTTAGTCTTGTGCAGTGGTTACAAGGATATTTGTTTTGTAATAATGGTTCAGCTGTGCACTTGCATTTAGGGGCTGTCTGTTTGCATTATATCTCACGATAAAAATATTTCAGTAAAGGAACGGATGGATGCAGCACATATGAATTCAGTGTTTCTTGTGCTAACTGTGACACTGTCTATAGATAGCTGTAGGGTCTGGGGCGCTTGCTGGAAGAGGGTCCTGAAAGGAGATGCCTGGGCTGGGGAGCGATCAAGGCCAGTCTGCCCACTACCCCCACCTTTACTGGATTCTCATCCAGGCTCCAAGCAGCCTCAATGTCACCATCACCACTGAGGCTCCTGGTGCCTGGTACGCAGAGAGCACTCCTGCCAGGCGCCTGGTTTAGCCCCTTACATTCTTATCCCACTTAACCCTTACAATAGCCCTATGGGGTAGGCGCTCTTACCACCCCTGCTTTACAGGCAAGAAGGCTGAGATGAAGAGGTCAGCTGGCCAGCCCAGGGTCAACTGGCTTGTAAGAGGGAGCTGAGATCTGCTGTCGGAGCCCACACTTTTCTCTCCTGTGCCATCCTCCTGCCCATCCCCGCCCGCTCCCCTAGGAGCGCTTCCCCAACTGCAGGACGCAGTGCCTCTGGGCTCTCAGGAAGACCACCCCCTCCCTCTGCTTGCCTTCTCCAGGTCCTCAGGGCCGCCCAGTTCCCCAGCAGGAAGATCGTGTTCAGCAGCAATCCTGTCCCAGAAGAACATAGCTCCTGTGGATAAATAAGATGCCAGCTTACAGGAAACAGCAGAGACGACGCTTTGCAATGCCTTCTAAACAGGATGGAGTGTACAGGAACAGAGTTTGTCATTCTGACAGAGAATCTGGGAGTATTTGGGTTGGAGGAGACTCCTGAGCTAATCCAGTTCAGGTTTCAAAGTCTTTTTTTGTTTTTTTGTTTTTTTTTTTCTTTTAAAGCCACAGAGGCTTTTTCAAATGAAATTTGATACAGAAACCCAACACATGAGAAAGACCAAAGCCAAGCTCTTCAGGCTGGGAGGCCAGGGGGCTCTACCTCAGAACCTGGGGTACACGTGGGGCTCGAAGGAGCACTGTTTGAGAACCACTCTGGTGAACCAGTCAGGTCACTTTGCTGACTGGAAAGAATCTCAAGGTCACAAAGCACTAGCGTAGAAGAGCCAAGACTTGAACTGATTTCCTGCCTTGCATCCCTGGACTTGCTCTTCTGTTCCAAGCTTTCAAGAATTTAAAAAAAAAAAAAAAAAAAAAAAAAAGCATTCACTCCAAAAAGAAAGGCATAAATCTTGATGTTTTTTAACATCCTTTTTTTCAAAATGGTACACTTGGCTTCTCACCTAGTCACTAGGATAGAATTGTTCAGCCATCAAATCTCAAGACCCTGGTTATCACTTGGTCATGTTTAGCTGGGGGTCCACTAAGACCCTGGGCCCTTTTCCTTGGGATCGTCTCCCTTGACTCTTATCCTCTCACTTTACTGAGCAGCCCTTGCGCAGCCTGCTCTTTGCAGAGCAGGTACCCACAAGAGCAGCTTCTCCCTGGTGTCTTTGCAACCACAAGACAGGCTGCAGGGATCTGCAGATGTGAGAAGATGCTCCAGAATGTTCTGCAGGGTCCAGAGGGAGCCAGAGAGGCCAGGGAAGAAGCTGAGAGTCCAGCCTTGGGTGTCTCTGGGTTTTGCCCGTCTGGCTGCGTCTGGAAACAGCAGCTGGTTATTCTCCTCTGGGTAGGTTCTCCTCCCTGATTGCAGTCCCTGTAGTTTGGGGGAGCTTGAGCACCAGCTGTCCTCGAGCCCCAGCTGTCCTCTAGCCAGCCCTCCCCTCCACCCCATTTAATCGGCTGCAGTTTCTCTGCTTGTAAGTTGTATCCGTTTCCTCGCACCGCACCTCACCACACACCCACACACCGGATGGCTAAAACCACAGAAATGAATTCTCTCACAGCTCTGGAGGCCGGAAGTGTGAACTTGACGTGTCAGCACGACCACATTCCCTCCTATGTTCCAGGGGGAACCAGCTCTGTGCCCGGCTCCTGGCTTCAGGCGGCACCCCTCCGGCTTCCTCTGTTTCTAGATACCACTCCCATCTCTGCCTCCATCTTCACGTAGAATTGTCCCTTCTCTGTACGTCTGTGTCCGAGTTCGCTTCTTCTCAGTCATTGGATTCGGACGCCTCCTGATCCAATAGGACCTCATCTTGACTTGATCACAGTTGCAAAGACCCAATTTCCAAACAAGGTCATGCTCCTGGGTACCACGGGTTAGGATGTGAACCTATCTTTACAGGGGACAAAATTCAGCTCCCGACATAAGAGGGTCAGGGGCATACTGGGTAGTGGCATCCCAGGATTTTGTGAAATAAATGTGCAAGGACTGAGCCAAATGACAGCTTACCAGCATCATCCCATCTCGGGCCATCACAGGATCCCACTGCACCCTGCATGGGCCCCCCCAAAGCAGGTGTCTAGTCCTTTGTGCTATTCTTTTCAGTGGTGGGGATGGTTCTATCTCCTCCTTGTCCCACCCTGGGCACCTGGGGCCACTCCTGGGGGCTGAGCAAGCAGACGACAGGCCTTGAATCCATCTGGGACTCCTTTCCGTTTGCCCTCCCTAGAGGCCCTGGGCCCCACCCCTTCTCTGCCCCCCAATTCCTGCCTGACCCCAGCTCCCCTTGACAGCTCCGGCACCTGCTGGCTTCTCATGGCCTCCTCCCTTGCTCGCTCCACACTGCACTCAGAGAGAACTTTCCGCGCAGAGGTGGATCATCTCACTCCCCATCTCAAAGCCCACCTCTCTGTTTGAGAGGCTCTTGATCTTCCATGTATTTCTTTAATAGCCAGGGCCCCATGGGACATCATCTTGGGGGCGCTTGCTCTCGTTGTGAGGGAGTCCCTCTGGGGCACAGCTCATCAGGCACTTGCCCTGGGCACCTCGAGGAGGGTGGGGCAGGGCTGGCGTCATGGAGGGTCGACCTCGGCAATCTCACATGACCCCTCCCCAGAAGGGCCTCGGGCTGGGTGTAAGTCTCCGTTGTCACTGTCAGATTTCTCAGTACCTTGTGAACAAGGGTCCTCTATTTTCATTTTGCACCAGGCCTTCTAAGTCACGCTGCCTAGCCCGGTGTCTGGTAGATAAAAGGTGCTCGAGGGATAATTACTGAATGGTGTCGCAGGCACCCCTTGTTGGAGGGGAAACAGATCTTGTGCCCTGCCCACCGCCCTCTCCCTGCCCACCTCCAATCTCCTTCTGAAAAACCCAGCCTAGACCCTACCCAACCTTAAACGTAGAAGCCCTTGCAGGGGAGGGGAGGGGAGAGGAGGGGTCAGGGTAGGACACAAAGTGACCCTAAATCCCTGGCGTCTTTCCCTGGCTCCCTGAAGACACCTCAGAAACAGCAGTAGCAGAGCCCTGCAACCAGGAGGGGCTGTTGGTGGGGATGGGGGGTAGGAGACAGGCTGCAGGAACCTCCCAGATGTCCCCGAGGCCCCTCAGGAATCTACAGGATGAACTCACTCCTTCTGCAGGGAGGACCGTGCTGCGCAAGTGCAACCAGCAGTAGGCGGGGCCTCCCGCTCCTGGGACCAATTCATCCCAGACTGGGGTGCAGCCCACCCAGCGAGCTCATTCTTTAAACCACCTGAACCAGGCTATGATGTCAGCCCCTTTCTCTCCTTCCAGTCATGGCCAGGAGAAAGCCTCCACCCGAAACCCACCTCCCTCTTGCCAATCCCGGATTTTTACAAAGGGAGCAGCGGTCTGTCTGTCCTCTCGGGGCTTTCCAGTGGGCAACATGACCTAGCTAGGGTTTGATGACATGATGGCATGCTCTTTTCTTCGTTATTTTTCTTTGTATGGACCAGATATTATTTCATTTTCCCCCCATTTATGTGGGTGACAGAAATATTCCTTATTCAATTAAAAGCATTACAGCAAAGGGAATCTTTGTAAATCATAGTAAGGTGGGGTGGATATGGGGGGGCACTTGGGGGGATCCTGAGGGAAAGGGGGCATTTCTGAACTCTGGTCCCAGCATTCATACACAGTGGAAACTGAGGCTCAGAGCAGGGAGGGGACATGTCTGAAGTCCCATACAGGGTCTGTGGTGATGTCAGTGCTCTCCTCCAGCTGACAATTCAGCCTTAACATCTGTGGTTCATGACGAATCAAAGCCTGGGCTGCCATTTTGCTTCCTGAAACCCCCTTCCACCAAGTCCGACCCCCCTCCCCTGACTTCGGGGCTCCTTGGCCCATTTAAAAACCCAGGCGGCAGGCAAATCCTCCTTAGCAATCTTCAGACAAGCAAGTCTAGAGACTGGAAATCATGTTTCTGCTTTGAAAACTGCCGCTGACTGCCTTTCCCAACTTCTGCTCACCAAATCTTCACAGGCCGTGTTTTAAATACTCTTTCTCCTTTTGCTGTGATCAGAGGACTTGCTTGTTCCCCTGATAGGTGACAAAAGATGTCAGAAAGACTAATGAGAGAATGTGGTTGCTGCCACTGCCCCCCCCCTTCCTTTCTCCTGGAAGAAGGAGGATCAGAGGGCAGAGCTTCTTGGGCTGGGTGGCATTTAAGATTTAAGCAGGGGAGAGATAAGGGTAGAGGTTGGAGCAGGGATGGAGGAGGGGGCCTCACGCAGGCTAATAATTTGGCGCCAGTGGCTGACATCAGTTGGTGGGCCTCCCAGCATGCATTGCCTTCTCTGGGCAGAGCATCCCAATTTTGCTTTGAAATAAACCACCATGCTTCCAGTGTCATTTAATTTGGGAGGCATGGCCCCAGCCCCAACTGTGGGCTGTGTGTGTGAATGAGACTGGCTCCAAGGTAGGTATATGACCCAATCAGAACCATGGAGAAGGAATCTTGGGGCCCTAATTGGACCGAGAGCTAGGAGAGAGGACAGCACTTCCAACTGGTCTTGGTGGGATGGGGATGCAGGCCTGGAGCTGTTGGAGAGCTTGCCCAAGAGGGACTAAGGAAATAAAGCCCCAAAAATGGAGGGAGAAATGGTCCACTGAGCCCTGATGATCTTAAGCACCTAGATCAAAACACACCTATGTACGGATGCAGAAAACACCCTTTTTTTTACTTCAACTCCTGAGGTTTTTCTTTCATTCTGACAAAAGATGACCATTTCACGATCATCTTGGTTTGTTTTATTTTATTTATTTATTTGAGAGAGAGAGAGCACAAGCTGTGGGAGAGGCAGAGGGAGAGAGAACCAGGCTCCCACTGAGCAGGGAGCCCAATGTGGGGCTCGATCCCAGAACCCTAAGATCACGACTTGAGCTGAAGGCAGACGCTTAACCAACTGAGCCACCCAGATGCACCACTATCATCCTTTTAACATCTGAACATGTGACTTTAGGTGCCTCGCTCCCTACTATGATCCCTCCTTAACCCCAAGGATTTGACAAATACAATTTCTTCCATCGCATTTCTAGGCACAATTTCAGTTCCTTCCAGGCTCATCACACACCAATACTGCAAGAGTCTCTGTTGAATGGCACAAGTTCAGATGGGGAAACTGAGGCTCACTCAAGTGCATACCACATAGAGAGTTCCTAAGGTAAGTCACACCTCTGGAGTTCTCTCTGCCTGGGTATCTTCCCACCCAAGAGACAGTCTAGAGGAATGGATCAAAAGTCCTCACAGCCCTGACTCCGACAACCTCTATCACTTTCCCTGACTTAACCGTCCCATTTTATAGGTTCAGGGACTGAGGCAGCAGCAAGGAATATGTTCCTCCAACTCTCATCTCCTTATCCTGACACACACTCAGTACTTAATCTTGAAGCTAGGGGAGAGGGAGACTGAGCACCGACAACACTGATTGTGCTCCTGGATCCAGCCATGCCTGAAGGCCCTAGAACTTCTCTTGGATCTTTCAAGAGCTGATAATTCCTTCTTTAAGATTTATTTCAGGATTTTGTTACTTACAACCAAAAGAGTCCTGATTATATAGTTGCATTCAAATCTCGGAGGGGCCATATGTCTAGAATAAAGGGAACAACTCTAGTCAGCCAGCCCCAGAGTTCAGGAAGACCTATCTTAGAAAGTTCAGGCATTCTATGGACTTCCCCAGTTATCTAGGTGGGTTAGAGCCCCTGGAAGCAGTGGGAGGGGAGTCTGGCAATGTGGAGACTTGGTGGGAACAAGAGTTCATGGGATGGACACAAATGCCAGGGCAAGGTGCCCCTGGGAGAGGGCCTGGTCTTCGGGAAACAGGGCCATAGATGCCCAGACCAGCGGTTCTCAAAGCATGGTCTCTGGACCAGCATCAGGGTCACCTGGGAACTTGTTAGAAATGCAATCTCTCAGGTTCTGCCTCAGACCTACTGAACCTAAAACTGGGTATTGGGCCAGCACGTTGTGATTTTCACAAGCCTTCTGGATGATTCCAATGCGGCATAAAGTTTGAACACTACTGGCTTAGACATTTAGATTAACTCTATGCAGCGAGGAGAGGAAAGTAATGCCTATTAAGAAGAGATGTGGGGACCCCAGAGCCCAGCGATTGATCTTTCCGGTTCACAAGTGTCTCAGGGACCTTCAGCAGCTCCAGAAGTTGGTACAGCGACCTCCATGCCTCTCCCATGGGCCTGCACCAAGCCAGCTAACAAGGCCAGGGAAAGCCACCACCTCCACGTCCCTCCCGGCTCATCTGTCTCAGCCCCAGCCTGCCAGGACTGACCCAGAGAAGAGGGAGGGCCCACAGGGTGTGAGTGAGGGCAGAGATCGACCAGATGAACTTTAACCTGACACTCTAGGGTCATACAGCTCTCTGACTGCACCTTTGCCCTAACTCAAGTTCAGTAACTGTCTCGAGGTAGTAAGGATAAGGCTGCATTTTGCGGCAGTAACAAACTCATCGGACATCTCAGTGGCTTAACACATGACGTGTTACCTTCCTGTTCTCACAAAGCCCAGAGCAAGTCGGGAGACTTTCTAGGACAACGCAATGTTTCCACAGACCAGGCTGCTTGGCTCCCGTGGCTCTGCTATCTCAGGGCAGAGAGAACTGCAAAGACATGCACAGACTCAGCATTTCCACCCATGTCACGCCCACTGGTAGTCCCCTGGCCAAAACTAGCTTTGTGGCTCCAGCTAGCTTCAGGGGGGCTGGGACACACCAGAAGCATGTGAAGAGCTGGCGATTGATAGAAATCTCCGCTACCTACCCGTTGGACACCCCAGCAGCTGCCCATTCTGCCGCTGCCCATGGGATCCCTCATTTCTTCAAAAACACCTCCTAAGGATCGACAGAACCGGACACTGTAAGCAGCGTGGATGGGGATGAACACACACGGGACAGGTACAGTTCCAGTCTTTCAGGAGCTGGTGGGTAGAGAGTGCGGTGCTGGAAAATCAGGCAGATCCTCCCAAATGTTCCCCAGACCCATATTTCTATGCCGCCATCCTTCCTGACTCATCAACCAAGTCTAGTCAGGTTTCAACCCTTGACGGAGGCTCAGTTTTGCCATCTGTGCAATGGGCATAATCAATGAACAGAAGTCATCCAATAATAATGAGAAGAGGGAGTCTCAGACTGATGATACCTCACAACCCTGGGCAGTGGGGCCGGGAGTCAAATGCCATCTGTCTGATTCCCATCTTCAGGTCCCCTGCGGGGTCCTTCTTCTTCCTCCCTGGGTGAGTGGCCCCTGCAGAGTGTCCCTCGAACTTTTTTTCTTCTTTTTAAGTAGGCTCCAGGCCCAGTGTGGGGTTCCAACCTGGGGCCCAAACTCATAATCCTGAGATCAAGACCTGAGCTAAAATCAAGAGGCAGGTGCTTAACTGGCTGAGTCACCCAGGCGCCTCTAGACCTTTTAAG